CAATTTTGCTAATTGCAGCCTTGATTACTCAGCCAAGATACATCACATTACTCTGTGTGGCTGGCATACAATTATCACATAGCTTGCAGCCAGTATCTCAGCGAAAGCCTACGAAAGCCTGAAACAAGCTGTTACATAAACTGAAGGGCCCGTTCCCATATGATTCTTCTGCTATTATTAATGGTGAACAGTAATTCATTCCCTTAAGGATAATGCAACTCATCTTTAATAGGTTATCTTTAATAATAATACTTTAATAAGTATTGATTAACAACTTGGAATACAGTATTAACTTCTGAATAGTGTACATTTTTGTGGTGAAGATTGTCCATTCTATCTGGATCTATAGCATTGTGATACTTGTTTCTCATGATAAATTTTCAGGATATATGATATATAATGTTCAGTTTTTCTGAGGTTTGCAAACAAGTTGGAATGGGCAAAGTGTGCCAGCAAAACTTTAGTGACCAAATTAGGTTATGAAAAATTACAGTGCTTTTTTAAAATTCAACATTTGCACAACTGAACTATTTAAGAAAGATCAGGAGGAAATATAAATAATGATGGAAACAATAAAATAAGATAATGCCATAAGTAGCAATCAGCTACTTGTTATGACACAGTTTATGCAGTTACTGGTTGTTGTTGTTGTTGTTGCTGTTGTTGTTTACTGGTTCTCTATAATTGGTCTAAATCTGTCTTTTTTATGGTGCATGCAGTTCCTCTGAGTTCTAGAAGTACTGATGATACCCAGGATATACTCAAAAAAGCATATTATAATATAGTTTATCACCAGAGGTAAAGAGAGAGCTAAACCCTTAAAAGTATTCTTGCTTTTGTGAAATAATGGCTCATGTAAAGGTAAAAGTATAAACAATACAACTTGAGTAGAAGTACAAAAGTAGCAGGGCAAAACTGGCATAATTTGAAAAATACCAGTCTGTGTGACACTTTCTTAATGAACAGACCAGTAGAAATAGTCCAATTTGTTTAGAATAAAATCTTGTCACATTAACTTTCGTTCAAATTTAAGAATGTTTTCCTTCTCTTCAAGGATACAAGGATTTGTTCTGACATCGACAAACTGCAGTAGAACTTCTTAGGTTATCCATCTTCTATCAGCATAGGAACTCAATTTAGACATTATTTTTCTGTTTTTATGCAACTTTGGTCTAAAGTAAAGCAATAAACCTCAGAAGTCAGAGGTGTGACCAATCACAAATCAACATATAATGAAATGAAACATGAAAAAGAGTTAGTGACTAGTTGTTAATAACTATAATGTAATTGACTAAAAACTAGATTTCTTTCATCACAAACATGCTTGAATTGAAGTAAGTGTTATACTCAGTAAAGCACCAATCCATGAATAGTTTACTTGAGTACATGTAGCTAGTTACTGCCTACAAAACTCATCATCACGTTGCAAACCCGTAGGTCAGATCATATTCACTTATTCCAGATCACAGCAAGGACACAGTATTTGACCTTTGACCTGTACCCCATGCTGCCCAGCAGGTGGTGTGACAATGACTGTAGCGGAAGGTGACCCCAGAGTGGGCACCAGGAAACGGACGCGCCACGCTTCAAAATAGAGTGGGCAGTACTCAGCAGTGGACATCCTATTTATCTCAGTCAGGCTTACGTAAGCATCAGTGGATGAGAGAAAAAGGCCTAACATGGATAAAGTAGTGCTGTGGTCATTTATGGTTCTGCTTGTTGTGTGACTCCCAGCAGACGCCAATCTAATCAGATGTACCGTCCTTAACCAAAACAGTTTTAGTGGAATTTGCTGGACGGTTTTGCAAAACATTACTAATCCAGTCTTTTAAAAGGGTCAAGTGAGGTTATCGGAGTCAATTTTAGAAAATTAGATATTTAATCAACTCTTCCAAGTGAAACCTTTAAATTATACTGCGCAATTTTAAGAGGTAACAAAGTACCAGTTTTCCGAATTACTATTATTAACTTACACTGCTAATTGTCCAAATGTGTTGCACGTTTATTCTGCATGTTACTAATTCAGCCTTTTATACGGATCAGGTGAGCTGAGTCTATTTTAGGCAGTGAGACGTTTAATAGAGCATTCCAAATAAAACTTTATTATAAATGATACTGTGCAATGTTTAGAGTTAGCAAAGTACCAGAGTTTGCTGACAGAGTTACTGTTATTTCATTATCTTATTAATCTCCTGCAGAGTTATAGCAATACCCACTGAGGAGCTATGGTAATACGCTGTGCAGACGGAGGAACTGTTAGTTTTCCATTACCCAGCATTCCTTTATGGGCAACAAGGATTTCATGATTCACAAATGAAAACAACAGCTAATCTGCCTCTCAGTTGGGAACCAAAAACAACACTGGGAAAATAATAAAATTTCAGGAGACATAATAAAAAAAAGAGACAGTGAAATAGGCAACATAGCCTTGCTTGATCATTTTGTCATTATAATGCATAGCCCAGAGCAGACTGTGAAATGTGGCTCAGTAGAAAGAAGCTCATACAGAGTGAGGGATGTGCAGGATGCTCACCTCAGGGTCAGTGCTGTGTTTGTCATTGCTTTGGTCCCCACAGATTTGATTCTGCACTCTTTCCCTTTGTACTTTGTGCCTCTATCCATAGCCTGTTGCCCCCCTTTCTATCCAGCATCAAAGTGGACCACCGGGGCAGGGGCCTGAGGGCTGGGGGCAGGGCCCAGGGCTGGATCAGGTTAATCTAGCTGAGATGATTCATATGTACTGTGCCGAGCTAGTGGCACCTTTTTTTCATTGCGCTCTGTCTCATTAGAAATGACGACCCTGAGAATCAGGCCATGTTTACAACCAGTAACACAGGTTGAGTAGGTGATGTAAACATTTAAAGCTTCTTTTTCAGTTTCCCGTATGTGCTTTGAGTGTTGAGCTGTGCTTTTACTGGTACTGTGATGTTATATTACACTTATAGGGGTGCAAATTTCATGATACGACATGTAGTCTGCTTTTTGTACCATGACACAGTACATTTTTTGATACAGAAGAAAAAAAGATATGGCAAGAATTTCAACTGCCAAACAAGACTGCAGCACCTGGAGAAAGCACATTGCACATAAACAAGTCATTTTGTTAGAAGAAAAAAGGGGGCTTTCTCTACTTTTGGGAGTTTCTCTTTTAGGAATATTATGGCATGTTTTTAATGAAACTGAGAAAACTACTCCAATATGTCAATATGTGTGATATCACATTTTTTTTGTCACAAATATTTTTATAGCATTAAGGCAAAGCACTACGGGCAGAAATGTCAATTTTGGTCCTGTCAGTTGTTTTACAGATTTTTGGATAAATTGCATTTACGTCTTCTCGTAAAAACTGTAATTATAAAAATGTAAAATCTCAACAGAAAAACATTTATTTCAGCATATTTAGGCAATTCTCTTCCACTTTCAAGAATTTAGCAGCTTAAAATAAGGCTTAGCATACATCACTGAAATGCTTGTTGCCTGTAGAATCTAACTAGACAGTTATACTGAACAAAATATAAGGCAACACTTGGTTTTGCTTCCATTTTGCAGCATTTTTTTTTTTCAAGTCCAGGAATCCTAGAAATGTCACGTTGCTACAGGCAAATGGTGAGCAGACCAAATACTAACATGGGTATTCTGTTTCATGACCCACCCTGTTTTTGTGGGGTTTCAGTAAAATCTTTTCAGTAAAAAGAATTGGTGTTTTATATTTTTGTTCAGTATAGATCTATGCAGAGTTGTATATTTCATTTTAGCTAACAGCAACATTCACACAAATGGTGCATGTTTTCTATGGTATCACTGGGAAATGCACTTCTGAGGCCCTTTACTGAAGTCATTCTTCTTAAAATCTACTTTTTCTCTACTTTCAGAACAAAAAGCTAGAGTCTAAAACACCTGCATTCATCAAATTTTACATGTTCATTCTTAACCCTATTTTAAAGCATATTACAGAATGCCTTTTTAATTGCCCATATCTGGATTTATGTTAATGTGTAGTACAAAATTGTGCACAGTGTTTTCTTGATTAAACAATAAAACAATGAAATTCCAGTAAACTGCGCACTAAAATCATTTCACTAGTGTCATCAGTTTAACTGTAACGTCATCCAAAGTTTTTTAGACACATGCACATGTCTAATTTGCATATCAAATGGTTTCAATATAATAAATACTTACACGAATGTCAGCAATCAGCTGGCAAAGATTCATTATTACATCTACTGTTTTAAAAAATAGTGTCTCACCTCAAATATTAGTAAATGCAAACCATAATCCTTTCTTCCAAAGTAGTTTACATAGGCTAAAATTCATGGGAACGTTACAGAAGCACTGATGTAAACGGCAGCTGCTGACTGCTCTTTTGTTTTCTCTAAGAGTCCCACATACCCAGAGCTGTATAAAAGCACTTAGCATAGCCTTCGCATGACTACACAGGATGTATACAGCCAGAGGGACTGTGTGTGGTCACAGCATGTCCACTCTAGCTGTATGTTTATTTAAGGCTGTTCTGTCATTACTAAAAGTAGCTATGCAGTAGCTAATTTCAATAGTGAATGTGGGAGGATTAATATTCTCTTGTCAGTTTGGGGATGTTTGTAGATGTTTTGCGGTCTTGCTGCAGGCCGTGGAACTCACTGGCCAAAACAAAGCCCTTTCTTGGCTGTATGGATATATCGTTCTCTCCTAAGGAGAGGAACACTCTGTTAGGGAATGTGAAACTGTCTGGACTGAACAGTATTACCATTTCGGACGTGAATTTTTACCTTCATTTAAAGTAAACTGGCTGGAATTTTAGCCTTCTCCAGTGTGCGCAGTACCTCCTGCCTGTGACGCTATTTCTCCTATCATTTGATGGTTGGTTTGAAATGACATCAGAGGAAATAAAGTGGTTTGCCAGAAATTACCGTTAATGTTTTTCCATGGTACCTCAGCTTTCCTTTCTAGAGCATTTATCATTAAAGTAAATTCTCATTAACTTGAATATCTCTCTCACTCAGGGTGACCACACGTGGGCCACCATGTTGGGTCAGAGTGTGAAGCTGCAGCCGGTGGCCATTCAGAACCTGTCGGAGCTGGAGCGAGTGCGTCTGCAGGAAGTGGCTCTCTATCACCTGGAGGAGCGTGACCTGGACTTCAAAATCAGCATCCCCAGAGGTATGTATGTACTACGACAATAAAGCTCAGAGCTGGGCAGAAAGTTGCAAGTTCTGACCGTGCCTTCAGTGGTGGTAGTATTCAGTGAGGAGGGACTGAACTGGGCTGGAGTTCTGGGTCGTTTCTGATTGGAGCTAGAGGGCCGAACCCCCTTTATAACTGTGTTAGGACTGTCATAGGATTGAGGAACACGGAGAAGATGGGGTGGTGCTGGGAATAGCAAAAACTTCGTCACAGGGAACCGAAGGTAGAGATGGGAATTTATTTGGTGTTAGATTGGAAGGAGGAGGGAGGGCTTTCAGGCGTGGTCTTCCCCCAGATTTCAGTTCATAACTGTGTTTTTGATTACTGAATTTTGTGTATAAGTCACATGGAATTCACATTTATATATTTTAAAAAATCTATATTATTTTAATCACCCTCTTGGTGGCTGCAATATAGGAACAATTTTAGGAACATAACCAAATCACAATTACTGAGAAAGTTGCTCAGCATCCAAAATGAAGATATAATAAAATTAATATGCAGAAGGCCTTGTATTTGAAAAGTGGTGATCAAATCGTGAGGCACACAGCTTATCAAGAAATTACTACAAATAAATAATTACAGTGTGTTGTTTATCTTTTAACTTCTTGCTGTACTCAAAAAAACATGAAATTTTCAGTAGAAATGTTAGATTAACTGTCTTTTGGTGTCTAGCTTATAGTATTTCAGTCTTCACCATTTAAGGTATTATTGAATAAAATAGCAGCAAAGATTAATATGACAAATGGTTTCTTACTTTTGAACGATACTGTTCACTTCCAGGAAAGCATGAGATCAGTAATCAGCTGAAAAAGATCTGACAGTTGTAAAATAGACCAGAAAGATGGAACAGCTGGCAAGAGCTTCATATAGAGGATCAGAGCTTTGTTTATTAGCTGAAAGCTTGCTAGCACAAAGTGTGGCAAAAGAGCAATGAGGAACATTACTGGCCATGTAAAGTCTTTTAAACACTTTTGTTAACAAAAGTACTTTTTTTGCAAAACATTAGACTGAAAAGTGTCGACCATCACATTCCACCTTACTTTCCATTTCCTCACAGACATGCCTGGGTGAATTACTGGCAGTGCTGCTGCAAAATGTTCTCCAAGAAGAGGCAATAATAGCGCAAACTGAGAATGCCTTTTTAATTTGCATTTTTGTGATGAGGCCATTTGGGATGAAAATGCATTTTGAAAATACAAGTGTTGTACTTTGATACAGATTGCATATAGTGTTTTTTTCCTTTTTTCTTTCAAAAAAAGATCAAATTTAGTTTACAATATAGTATTCTGCATGTCACATACATCTCTGTGGCAGTGCACATGAGCAACATTTGTACTTTATTTTCAAAGGAAACAATGCTGGCATGCAGCCCAGATTTGTGGAGCTAAATTTCTGTCCAGAGATTTAAGCTTGTGATGATTCTTTGTCGCGTGAAACGAGATAAGCATCATGGACTGAAACTCAAATGCTGCGCAGTAATTGCTGGAAGTTTACCAAGATGATAATAACTGACTGGAACTTGTTGAAAGCACAGTAAACCCACATAAGACCTGTCTACTATGGATTCATCAAATTCCAAGGGGACAGTAAATCTAGTGGATTCTGTGTTGGAGGGGAAAAAGAGTGTGTGTGTATATGAGAGAGAGGGAGGGAGATGAAGAGAGAAAGAGACGGAAAAAGCAAAAGAAGCGTGCATAAAAATGTTGTTATGTAAGTGTACAGCATAGCTGGAATGTGGAACCTCACAGACTGTGCTATTAAAACATCATGTCAGGGAAGTGGTTATCTCCAGCACATTACATGTTTGTTTATGTCATCTCACATTTAGCCTTGGAAATGTTATTCAGCCTTCTCTACTGAGAAGGACACGTATACTGTTGCTGTTGCAATCTCCAAAACGTTATAAGGTTCACCTATAATGTTGTAAAAAGCATTCTTAATTTTAACTAGAGGTAGCACGATATCACTTTTCTGATATTGATACCGATATCGAAACCTTGAGTATCGGCTGATACTGATCCACTACTTCTTCATTTAAAAACTGCTTAACTTTAAAAAGAGCTATTTTTAAAGAAGCACTTCACTTCCAGGTGCATTATTCAATTTATTTATGTTATTTATAGTATAAATAACCTGGAAATATGCAGAACATGATAAAAAAATAATAATTGTTTTAGCGATGGCATCAGCAGAAGTGTATTATGTGCCTGAGAAATCCCATTTGGAAAACTGCAGGGTGGAGTGAAGACTTGTCTGTGTTTACTCTGACCTCCTGTCCGTTATTTTATAAGACACTCCTTATACACCATATAACTCTCTATCTCCTCATCTGTTCGCCTAAGAAAACATGGTGGAATTTGGTTAGCGAACTCTGCTGCCATGTTCTAGTACTGTTGAGTTGGACACGGAATTAGCGACATTCCAAATTTGCTTCATATTTGCACTTTCTGCTCAGCCTTAAATGCTGATGTACAAACAATGTTTGCTTGGTAGTGACAGTTCACTGAAAAACTTGTTAAGAGCTCATTACAAAGAAAAAACAGGATGGCAAACATGAAGAACCAAGTGCTGGCAAACTCTCGAAGAGCTGCGATAGGCACGCCAATTCTACAGTGGTACTTGAAAGTTTGTGAACCCTTTAGAATTTTTCATATTGTACTCCACCAATCCACAGTCAGACAGATTGTGTACAAATGGAAGAAATTCAAGACCATTGTTATGCTCCCCAGGAGTGGTCGACCAACAAAGATCACACCAAGACCAAGGTGTGTAATAGTCCACAAGGTCACAAAGGAACCCAGGGTAACTTCTAAACAATTAAAGACCTGTCTCACAGTGGCTACTGTTAATGTTCATGAGTTCACCATCAGGAGAACACAGAACAACAATGGTGTGCATGGCAGGGTTACAAGGAGAAAGCCACTGCTCTCCAAAAAGAACATTGCTGCTCATCTGCAGTTTGCTAAAGATCATATGGACAAGCCAGAAGGTTGGACAAGATACTGGAACAATGTTTTGTGGATGGATGAGACCAAAATAGATCTTTTTGGTTTGAATGAGAAGCATTGTTGTGTGAACTCAAGTGAACATGGGTCATGCACCAAGACAACGACCCTAAGCACACAAGTCGTTCTACCAAAGAATGGTTAAAGAAGAATAAATTTAATGTTTTGGAATGGCCAAGTCAAAGTCCTCACCTTAATCCTATAGTAGGTTGTGGAAGGACCTGAAGCAAGCAGGTTATGGGAGGAAACCCACCAATATAGCAGAGTTGGAGCTGTTTTGTTCGGAGGAATGGGCTAAAATTCCACCAAGCCAACATGCAGGACTAATCAACAGTTACCGGAAATGTTAAGTTGCAGTTATTGCTGCACAAGGGGGTCACACCAGATACTGAAAGCAAAGGTTCACATGCTTTTGCCACTCACAGATATGTAATATTGAATCATTTTCCTCAATAAATGAATGACCAAGTCTAATATTTTTGTCACATTTATTCAATTTTGTTCTTTTTAATTACTATTAGGTCTTGTGTGAAAATCTGATGAAGTTTTAGGTCAAATTTATGCTGAAATATAGAAAATTCTAAAGGGTTCACAAAGTTTCAAGCCCCACTGTACTCTGAGAACAACATCACATCACACAATGTAAGCATCTGCTAATTCAGTCTAGATTTGTTACAGGATTGTAATAGGAATAACTTACAGTCCAATGCAGGGTTAACTTGCAGTGCATTAAAATTAGACATGACATATCAGCAACAATAGGTATATATGTCAGTCCAATATCAGCAGGAAATGTTGAATTGGAAATCAAATGAGGGAAAAAAAGAAATAGTCTAATCCAGTATTTGGTGTTGGTATCGGATTAGTATCAGATACCCATCAATATCATATTTTAACATACTGTAAGTTAATGTAATAAGATTGTACTATAAGTCATTTCGGACAGTTCTTACTACTCCATTCATCATGAAACATTCATACAAAGTAAAACAGCCAAACTAAAAAAATAGAGGCAAGGCTTTCATATGTGAGCAACAGTGTGGAGCTGTTCCTCGTATTTCCCACAGTTCTGTATGCCTGTGTGGCCTCCATTCACTTTGTATCCAGGCTCTTGTTTATAAAGCATGAGTGTTTAGTAATGGAGTTAGAGGACGTGTTAGATTTTCTTTCGCAGAGTATCATGCATTTTACATTGGAAGCTCTAATCCAAGCAATTCTGAGCTGTTTCACAAGACAAAGATGTGGAAAGTCAACTAAAACTCTGATTAGTGAATCCAAGCTTTAGCCGATCAGCTTTAATCCAGCACTTCAACTGACCCCTAAGGAAAGAGGTCAGTGGACTTTGTGGGAATATTTACGGAACACTCTCTTCCCTAAGGAGAAATTCATCGGACTCTCCACCACAGTCCCAACAGCCACCTCTGTGGATTCGGTGCTGACATGTGCTGAACATGTTTTGCGTGGAAATCTGGCCCAGTGTCACTGTCGGGACTTAAATTAACGTTACTGGAGTGTTCACCAGGGAGTTTTGGTCATTTGAAAGCCTGTCATAACTGATATGTTTCTTTTTTTCTTTCTTTTTTTCCTGGCAGTGTTGGATGAGTTATTTTGAAATTACACTCTAGGGATTTATTGTGGCTTTTGTTTGCTTTCCATTGTCCACCTACATAAGACTGGTGCGCATGCAGATTCTGTTTGAATACCTTTTATGACTTTGTTTTTGTCTCTCTCACTGCTGCTTGTCAAAATTGCTTCCATACTTTGTTTTTTCTCCTTAATTTACTTCGGAGTGAACTTTTTCTCTCTTGCTGCCCCCATTTCCAGGGTGTCGGTGGGAGATTAGCTCATGATGCCTTGGCGTGTGGGGAGGGGGAAGGGCCAGTGGCTGTGGAAATAAATTCTCATTTCCTGTAGTCATGGGAACATGACCCCACCCAAAGCTTCTTCACATGGTGCCTGAAGCCCTAGTGTGGTGTCACAGCCTCTCTCTCTTTTTCACTGTCTCTCTCTCTCTCTCTCTCTCTCTCGCTCTCTCTCTCTTTCTCTTGCTCTCTCTCTCTCTTTATCTCTCCGGGCACATCACTAGAGTAGCTCTCTCATAGTGCCTGGACTCCACTCTCGGGAGCACAGTCTCATCCAATATTTGAACTCATATCAGTAAAAACCAACAACAGTTATTTTGGCTGGTCTGCAGGGATTAGAATGGCCTTTCAGTGTGTGTGAAAATGGCCATATGAAATCTGGAAGGCAAGATGAGAAAACATGAGTAAACATACAGTATTTCAGTAATAATACTGTATACAGGACTCTTCAAAGTCAGAGACCAAAACCATTTCAAGTCATAACAGTCATGACGTAGAAGTTATTAATTTTATAGCAATAATAAAAAAGCAGAAAACATATATTTAACAGAAAATTACACAGAAGCTTCAACAACTAAATGTAATATCACATTCTTAAGAATTTAGTCCACTCTTTCCTTTTATTACAGCTTCCATTCTTTTCAGGAGACTTTCAGTTTTTTCAAAGAAATCTGCAGGGAAATTTTTCCACACTTCCAAAGTTCAGTCTTAGAAGTTGTTGGCATTTTCTGCTTCTCACAATCCACGTAATCTCAGATACATTCAGTAATGTTGAGGTCTGGGGTGGTCAGTCCATTGTTCTGAGAACACCAGCAGCTTCTTAGCTTGGTTTGCAAATTTTCTTGTTTTGTTGTCTATTTTCAGATCTGAAGCAAGAGAGGAGCTTGACTTTCTCCTCTCTCTCAAAGATGAAAGCTTTAAGTATTGTTTTTCTGACGGTGACAGTTTTTGTGGTCTAAAAGGTTATTTATGGTTGTTAGAAGTCCCATACTCTTTATATCTTTCAATTTTTTTAAAAGACACTCCAATTCTAAAAACTCTTTGGATTTGGATTTTTATTTACTTGTTTTCCTTTGACTTTCCTTTTCCTTGTGCGAAAGGATTGTCATATATCTGATCTCCTCAAAAATATCACCTGAAAAGAATAATGTCCTTACTTAACAGACTTAATGGCCATTTTGTCTTAAAATTAAAGAAATAAAATGCAAAAAATGGATGCCACAGACAAACCATGTTCTTTGCACTCGAGAAGTTGAGTTAAAAAAAATCACACTTTATTTTGAGAGTTCACTATAGATCTACGGATGCCTAAATTGTGAAACTATCAGGGAAAACTCAGTTTGTCATCAACACTGGTAGAATTCAATGTAAGATTAGTTTCAGGTCTTGTGTTAAAGTCAGGTTTAGGCTCAGAGTTATATTGAGTATAATCTTTACCTTTAAAGTTAACTCAAAGTTCAGTTGCATTTAATGGATACTTAGTTGAATGTTAGTTAAAGATAAGCTGAGCATCTACAGAACAACAGACCATCAAAATAAACATCAATTGAAATGTTTTTAGGGAACCAAAAGAGGTTCTTTTATGGCGTTGCTCCAAACAACCCTGTTTTCCACCTTAATTTTAAGTGAACCAATCTTAAAAATAACATGAAAGTACCTTGTACCATACACTGCATGAATGATGCAAACATTCACAGCTGTCATCAGGCCAGGCTCTGATGAGTTTAAGACTGCAGGACAAGTTAATAAACAAAGCCTGATGTCATGTTGCTAGCTTACTGTCCTCGCGTGGGCTGTGCAGAGGAGAAAATCCAGCTCCCGACAACATGTGAACAAAGAGCTTTGTGTTTTGTGACTTATTTTTAGTGCTCTCCAGTTGAGGAAGGACTGTTCTTTCCCATGCAACGTTCAGGGCTAATAGTGACCATTACAGCTAGCCAGGAAGTGTTTTTATTATGTTAGTGTCGTGCTAAGCATAGTTCTGGGCATGTTCCTCTAGCTAATCCTAAAAACATGAAGTCTTTAATAGTTCTTCAGACTGCTTGCTTTGGCAGGACCCCATATTCACAGATATCTCATCTCATTTTAAAACACAGTCCTCATCAGATGATCAAATATTTAGTGGGCATTTTATTTCAGCTTATATTGGTATCCAGCTTAAATGTGTTTTTAAAGGAAAAACTCATAGATTTTCATATCATATCAGGTTTTCAGTACAGACATACGGTGGGCTCCAAAAGTCTGATACGAATCCAGAACTTTCTCATCACTGAAAATGCTTGTATTTTGCATTCTTTTCTAAATGAATGCAATTCACAAATTACAATAGCAGCATAACAATTTGAGTGAAAAGAAGATTTTTTGGTATTTTATTCGTTATTTATGAACTTCAGAATTTGGTATTTGGTATGTCCCTCTTTTGCTTTAAACAGCATGCACTTGAGCTGGCATGGACTCCATAAGTTTGTACAAAAGCCCCTGATGAGCAGATCTGATCCACCTGACAGTCATCTGAACATGAGCTTCAATAGAAGAGATAACACAAAAAAAACTACCTTTTTGTGCAAAGGCCTTAACATGACACATGTCAACATTTGCTTAAATTGCAGTAGTGATCTAGAAAAAGTGCAGAATCTTTCTTCTTATATAATTTCTCAGATCTTTTCTTTGTTTTATTTTTTTTTTATCTAACAAATATATTTTATTTATTTCCAAGTTTAAATGAAAAAATGCCAAATTTTCAACATGGTCTCAGACTTTTGGAACCCACTGTACATGTTTGAGAACTGACAAAATATGAATGTAGGCCAAAAAGGATTCTAGCCACCATGTTTACATTAATCAAATTAGGGAATTTATTTTAGCGACTGGACATTAAAGTGGCAGGTCTTTTTGTCCAGCAAAGAGGAGGTTTAAGCTAAGAAAGCTGCTCCTTCAGATAAGCTAAAGCTAGTACTAACACTGGAGCTAGTTGGAGCAACTGTGGACTTGTTTTTTACACAAGGTCTTTTAGCAAACTTTAATACAACAGTAGAAATGATTACATACTATGAGCGCATTCAAATTTCTTTACACAAAATGTTAAAACACAAAAAGTGCGATTGCTAGCACTGTATGGCCCTGTTTAATTTAAGCTAACTGTGAACTAACTTAAATAAAGCTAACTTAGTCAGCTAACTAAACTTAACATTTTTTTATAACGATATTTACAAGACATCATATAAAATGAGTGTTAGCAGGTACAGTCATTTAGATAAAGTTTAGCTTACCTTAGAGCCAGTGTAAGTCTGCCTGTTAGTAATTTGACAGTGAGCTGTGTGAGTGTGGTTTCTGTATAGACTAATCCAGAACTTTCTCAGCTTTAGGAGTGAAACAGAAATAGCAGCACCCTCCAGATAATCAGGACAACATTTGTCTGAATGAAATCTTCCTCAGTAATGCCTGCTGAGTTCTTAGGCTAATAATTCTGACTAATTTACTGCCACCACTGTTCTCACTACAGGTTTGTTGTGAGGGGTTTGGTTGTAGTTTTCCTTCACTTGTGGAGGAAATAGTGTTTAGAGACAATTCTGAGTGTCTGAGAAGTGTGTCAATCATTTATTTTGCAAAAGATCACAGTTGTAAGCAAAGGTTTGGGCAACCCAGTAAACTAACATATTTTTTTGATTTTCAAGTGAAAGAAGTTCTAAGTGAAAATAAGTTAACACATCTGCTACAGAGAACACACCTCTGCACATTCACATTTTAATGGGTAAATGCTGTTTATTTGCTGAATATATTCCTTTAATTTTCCCTTTAATTGTGATATTTTATGTTTGTTTTTTTTTCCAACTCAGCAAATAAAATGTGGTAAGAATGGTGTAGTGGGTAATAGCTCTGCTCTGCTTCTACACTGCAGACTGGGGTTCAGTTCTCCACCTGGGCAAGCACCCTATTCTATACCAATAAGAGTCCTTTTGCAGGGCTCCTAATGCTGCCTTCACCTACCTGTGTAGGTGTGCAATGATCAAATTGTCGCTCTGGATAGGAGTGTCTGCCAAATGCCATAAATGTGAATGTAAATAGAAAATGTCATGTTTAAGTTTGTTCTCTGTAGAGGATGTGTTCACTTATTATTGCTTAGAAAATCATTAAAATGTGTAATTTGACCAGGGGTGTTTAAATGTTTGCAACGTTTGCATATACTTAGAGTGAGATGCATTGATTACATTTCATAAAACTAGAAATCTTCCCTGTAATTCTAAAGGGTTTATTTAGTATGTTACATAACATTAGCATGCATTTATATGAGCTCTTTTTAATATGCAAATTCTAATAATAAAGGTTGCTTTTCAATATGTCAGACAAATCTCAGCATCTGAACTGTTTCAGGTGCTGCTTCTCAGTTACTCCTGTTTTGATCATTATATTGAGTGCTTTACTAAATTATATGCAAATCTTCCATCTGATCAGTGTATTGGCTTAGCTGTGTATTCTGGTGGTCTCATCAAGACATACTTTCTTCTCTTTTTGTGATACCATCTACAAAAGCCCTCTTCTCTATTCTCTGTCCAGAGACTCGCAAGAGGAGGAAATCGCTCAGAAGAAAGTTTGATTCATTTTCCAAGGAGAAGAAGGAGCGAGGTAAGGAGAGATTCCTGCATTTTTCTTTCCATGACAGACGTCTCTGATCTCAAATTCACAGACATGCTGTTCTTTTTTGTGCGTGTGGATGCGAAGGTTAAGACTCTTTTATTCTGCCTCATCAGGCTTGCGTCTGTTGAAATGATTTTGACTTAATCTGTCAGTTTTTTGTGTTTTCACACCCACATCCACTCTCTTATCAGACTGCATGATTACATTGCTTTGAAGTGCACCTCTGGTGAGCTGAACCAGAGCTTTAGGTCTCTCAAACACTTTTGAAAACCTGCCAGCACACTACAGATTCAATCTTCATCTGGTCACTCCCATACAATCTCCCTGGTCTCTTCAAAATCACAAACAAATGATAGAATGATTGATAGAATGGGCTTTAAATTTGATCCAGATGTGGAGTAATCTTCGTCAAAACTGCCAGTCCGGCTGTAAAATTCCATTCTCTTTTCGCCAAAGGCACTGCTTCTCCCTTTCTCTCTCTCTCTCTCCTCTTGTTCTCTGTTCTCTTTCTCTTTCTCTCTGTTCGCTCTCCCTGTCTCTCTCTATTTCTCACACTCTCCCTCCCTCTCCCTCTCTTTCACTCTCTTTGTGCCTCTCTCTCAATGTCTCACTATCTCCCTCTCTCTATTCTCTCTTTTTTCCTGCTCTCTCTCCGTTCTCTCTTTCTACCTCTATCCCTGTCTCCTTCTCTATCTCCCTGTCTGTTTATCTCTCTCCCTCTCTCATTCTCTATCTTTCTCTGTCTGCTCTCTCTCTTCCTTTCTCTCTCTGTTTTTTGTCTCTCTCGCTCTCTGTCTTACTTTCCTTCTCTTTCTCTGTTCACTCTCTCTCTCTCTCTCTCTCTGTCTCATTCTCTCTCTCTCTCACTCTAATATAGTGAGTGGTAAAAGGATGTTCCTGCTCAAGCTCTTCTGACCCCAGTTGCTGAGTCTGTTGCTATAGGTGTGTCCAGCTCCTGGGAAATCTCCAATAGGCCTTTAAGACGTGCTACTTAGCCAGTCTTAGTGGCCAGCAGAACATTGAGTTTTGGCATGGCTTTCTGTGCCACTCTGGGTTTACCGGCTGCAGTCTGTGCAGCCGTGTGTTTTGGATGTGTCCATCTCATCTGTATACTGTGAGTTTCCATCAGCTTTGTTGTCTGCAATTTTGGTTCCATTATTTGTCCAGTTTATGAGGTGCAAATAACTCAAAGTTATTAGATCCACAGAAGATCTCAGTTTCTCTGTAAGAGCTGGATCTCTTGCACATTTGATCATCATTCAGCCTTACCACTGTATTAAAGATGTCTGAGTTTTTTTTATTAGTAATTTAGCTTGTCTAAAATTAGATGAGTACAATGATAACCTCGTAATGAAGTGTCAAGAGTTTCTCCTTAGACTATCTTTAGGCTTGCTTTAGATGGGGTCCTTTCACAGCCTTGGTGTCCCTCCTGCATAACTGATATGTGCTGAGCCAATTATGTTATCCATGTTTTTAGCTGCTTCCAGATTGGTCTTTTCATTCTCCAAAATGACAACAATGCAAGCTCTACTTAAAAACTAGGTCTGTTTGCATTCATATCTCATTGCAGTTCTGCCATATTAATTAGTATGATCATACTGTATGTACATCTGTAAATCTGAACTATATAGAGTCATGCACTGAATGTACTTGGTTCAAATGTGTACATTATTTCCATTTATATATTGATGTAACATATATTACATCAATGCAGTTATTGCCAAAAGTAAGTAAACCGAAAGGCAAATTTATGTAGTGATATTTTTGGCATTTTTGGAAATTATGTGCACATTTGAATCAAGCAAATTCAATGTAATACTCTTTCTGTGTAAATGTTTGTCGTAATGATTAAATTACTCATCCATGGTTTAACTACAGGGCTATTTTTGCCAATTTTACTAATGCTGATATTAGCAGCAGAGTTTTTTAACTTTTCAAAGCATAATAGACTGTAACTGATCCTACACCTGCCTTAAAACAGTTAGATCAGTGCCAGTGCAGGTCTCTGGCTTCGCTCCAGTCGCCTGTAACCTGCCACCTGAGTCTGGCAGCTGGGCCCTGCACGTGCTACCAGCCTTGGATCCCAACACTGGAGGAGGATGGGTGGGGGAGAGCCGGATGGAGGGATAGAAGGACTCTTGGATGGAGGAAGAAAGACAGAATGCGTCTAAAGAAGACTTAATCCCCCTATCCTTCCAGATTATTGGTAGGCCCACAGCCAGTGAGCCAGACTAGCATGACCTGCCGGAGAGCCTTTAACCCCACGAGACTACTTTAGATGGACAGAGAGAAAAGAGATATAGAGAGGGAGGGAGGGAAGGAGGGAGTAGAGGATCTGTGCTGTAGGCGTGCTGTAGGAGGCATGCCAGCCACAGGTACTGTTTAATCCTGCCCTAGTTTAGCCCTGCTGATCTTTCAATGGCAGAATCCTTAAAATGTGAGCTTGGTTTATTTACAGTCACCTCCCCATGAGGCAAAGCTGACGCCTCCAGGAGAAACTCATTCAGGGAGTAAATTCCATTGAGTGAATTCAATTTTGTTATATTTTCAGGAATGTAAGAGTACACATATTTTTTAGGTTTGATGTGATTTGATATGATACCAGTAGGGTGGAACAATTTTGGGGGCAAATGTCTAATTGCAATATTTGCAACCTGTATTTTGATTGTTTGAAATTGCATTAAATTGCAAATGTAATTTCTTTTTTGGCCAAGAAGAGCAGAATATCTGCTTTTTGAATATACTGTGCCAGACTGACAATTTAGTCATTATGTTGTGTAGTCATGTACACAGCACATGGGCGTTGCCTCTGATTGTTCTAACTCAGTGGTTCCCAGCCCGGTCCTCACAGCCCCCCCGAGATCAACACATAGAGATGAAGGAAAAATGGGGGGCCCTGAAGACTTAGTTGGGAACCACTAGTCTAAATACTGGCAAATTACAATTTACAAATTTACAATTTATAGAGGTTAAATTTCCCCACCTGAAACTTACCACAACATTGCCACCACATTTTTGAAAACTTTGTAAATAATAAATATACTATAATTAAAAATTGCAGCTGATTTGAGTTGAAAAGTGCACTTTCAAATTGCGATTAATCCTTCAGCCCTAGAAACAAAGACTTGATTTGATCCTATTTGATTTTCAACATTTTATTGAGCATAGATGTGTGTTGTAGTAGGTGATAACTGGTGAAAACACACCAGTTTGTTGTTGAGGGGCAAGACATTAGCAAGAAAAATTACCTTGGTCATTTGCATCAGACATCAAGCTGATGTTCCACAGCTGATATTGAAAATGATTGTAATATTCACCATGGATTTCATGAAAGATAGTAAATAAGAGACCCCCAGAAAAGACAGAGGGTCGAATTGGCAATACAGGTTTTAATTTAATTCACTATTTTGCATTTTCAGGTTTTTGTTTTTTTAATTTCATATCAAAATTACAGCCTTATTTCTTTCTTTATTTAAGTCTGCAATCTGCAATATACTGCAGTCTGCAATATACTAAGCCATTGGTCACCAACCCTGGTCCTGGAGATCTACTTTCCTGTTGAATCTAGTTCCAACAACAATCTACAACACCTACATCAGCTAATTTACTTCTACAGAAGTCCTTCATTGGCTTGATCAGGTGCAATAGTGTTAGGTAAGGGGGGGGGGTGTTGGTTGGAGCTAACTCTGCAGGAAAGTAGGTCTCCAGGAGGAGTGTCTGTGACCACTGTACTAAGAAATTTAGACCACTGTTTCAGTAATGAAGACACATAAGGACAAGGCACACAAAAGTCTATAATCATTTAAAATGTAATACACTGGTGCTAAATATATGAGATGTCAATCATGTCTCAAATAGTGTTGGCCAGTTTTCTGTTACAAAAATGTCTGAGAGTGTAGGATTAAAGCGAAGTTTACTCCGAATTACTCTGAACTTTAAGAGGCTTACCTAGAGAAGAACAAACACAGTTAAACACTGACGCAGGACTGCTGCACTTACGATGGCAGTTTCCATGAGCCTAGTGCTAAAGGTGCCGCATGTTGTCTTGACAGGGCTGCTAGGTTTGGAACATCTGAGTTGGGCCAAGTAATACAATTAGGTTTTGAACCTGCCTCCCTCCCTATGTAATAATGTGAGGAGGGTTCAAAAGCCAAAAGGTTTTGAAACTATAACAAACATCCCTAGTCCAAACAGTCCATATATGGTGTTTAAGCTGCCAAATCAGCCCATTTTGAATTAATTTCCTTTGTAATGTGATGAAAACCAGTCCATTTACATAATTTATCTGTTCAGCCTGCAGCAGTTTAGCTCCAGCTATTCATTTTGAAATTATAAGGAGTGTAACAAAAATAGCCTGTTTAGTTCTAAAGGGTAAAGAGATGTTAGATAATGGTCACATAAAAAATGAATTATGACTGGCTTTTGGTACATAAACCCACACTCAGATGTCATAAGTAGGTACCAGGGATAAAAGAAAAAAGTAGGATATGGGCCCTTTAAAACTATCTAGGTAGTTTTGGTTTTGTAAAAAGAGTATATAAAATTTGAAGTAATCCAAAGTAACATTATTACATTGAAAAGTAAGTTTCTTTTTGAAGTGGTTGATGTCTTCTGAGATAGATGCTACATTCCATTAGATTTATTTAATTCCAACACCAGCACACCTGATTACTAAATGAAGTGTTGATTAGCTGAACTAGGCCTTTGATGGTAACCCAAAACAGTGTTTTGTTAAGAATGCACTGTGTGAGGCAGATGCAGCCATGCTGTAAGCCGGTTTGAGGCAGATGTTAAAGGGTTAGTAAGAAAACAGAAAGCGCATGCAGCATGTCCTTTGCTGAACTTAGTAAGGTCATTGTGGGTATTGGGTGGACCAAAGCGGTTGTGTAAAGACTAGTGGTATCTCTTGTTCCATACACTGAGAAAGATGAAACACTTTCCTGTTTGGCCGAGGAAATGAGTGCAGAAGAGATGAGTCTCCGTAGCGTCACGTGGGATACAGGAGTTGGATATCAGCGTTGCTGTGGCTCGGGACCTAATGCAGTTTATGTGGCATTAAAAAGTTAAAAACAGGACACACCTCAGTATACATGAGCTGTATATGAATACAGGTGTATACAAAAGTGTTCACACTTATGGTCAATTACCATGTTTTGTTGATTTTCAGTCAGTGAAAATAAGTTAACACATTCTCTACTTAAATTTTAGTGCACAGTTTATTTGCTGAGTTTAACATATTGGAAACAAACATAAAGTATAAAATATTCCATATTGTTTGCACAGGCCACATTTTGTTTTGTTTTGTTTTCCCAGTAAACAGTATCTATACATTTAAATGTACAGAAGTGTGTCCTCAGTAGAGGATGTGTTAACTTATTTTCACATAGAAAATCAACAAAACATTACCAGAGTGCCCACACTTTTGCATATGACTGTATTATGAATGGGATCTTGCACTGAAAAGTAATGTAAAACTAAAAAAGTAAAGTAAAAGTAGTTGCATCTACTTGGTTTAGATGTGTGCCACATTTTCCACATGAAAAAAATACAAAGCCTGTTTGTTTATTTCATTTCCATACTAACGGCCATTAAGTACTGCTTTTGGCTTTTCAAAGAAATCTTTAGGAATGTTTTTCCATGTTTTGTGTAAACACCTCCAAATTTCGGTCTTGGTTGCATTTTCTCTTCTCATGATCCAAACACATTAATAATGTTGAAGTCTGGACTCTGAGGTGGTCAGTCCTTTGTTCTGAAAACACCAGCAGCACCTTTGTTTGATAAGTACATCCTGATCTTCTCAACAGTCTGCTTGGGGTTGTTATCTTGGTCTAGAATGAATTTCTTCTTTATCAGTTTTTTTTGCATGATGTATGTTATTCATGCAGGTGCAAACCAAAACTCACAGTGGTCCTCCACCATGCTTGACTAATTGCTGTAGACATGGTTTGAGAGTCTTTTGTTGATTCTGCAGAGTAAATACTGTTTTCTGTCCCCTTTACATAGACCTCAGATTTAGAGACGTCAGTACAGAAAACCTTACTCCACATCTCAAATATCCAGTTTCAGTATTCTAGTGCAAGTTTTTGTCTTTTGTGTCTGTTTCCTTTTCTCAATTTTCTCAACAGCTTCTTGACAGCTACACATCCTTTCAGACCCATAGTGTTGAGTTTTCTCACACTTGAAGGACGGACAGAAACACCTGTGAATTTCAGATCTGAAGCAAGAGTTGAGCTTTGACTGATCAAATATTGTTTTCCTCCTCTCTCAAAGATGAAAGCTTGGAGTACTTTTTATCTAACGGAGACAGCTTTGGTGGGCTAACAGGTCTTTTAATCTTTGGTGGGATAACAGATCAGGTTTTAATGGTTTAGAAAAGTCCAGTTCTGGAAAACGTGTGACTAATTTCCCTTTGACTTTTCTCTTCTTTATGCAAGTGGATTATCTTCTATTTAATCTCCTAAGAAATATTTCCTGTAGCCATTGTAGATGCACATGAGAAAGAAATGTGCAAGGCAGCTGAGGTGAGCTTGTTTAGTTGCTTGTGTGAATGTTAGTGTCTGTTTGAAGGTGAAGGCAGCTTTTGTTGGGAGGACACAGCTGTAACTGGTTGGTTTTAAGAAAGCAAGGATGGAAGGGCAGTATAGTGCACAAAAGGGCAGTATAGTGCTCAAAAGGGCAGTGTAGTGCACAAAAGAGTGGACAAATTAAATACTGATTGATTTAATATTATATTCAGTGTTGGAGGCTTTTGTGTAATTTTCTGTAAATATATGTTTTCTGCTTTTTTCTGAAGCTGAAATAAAATAAAAGAAAGGGGGTCTCTGACTTTGTCACAGTACTGTATATGGTGAATTATTGTATGTGAACAGCATTTTGGGATGAGCTGGTAAAAATGCTGCTGTGAATGTCATGTTGGCGTGTAAATGACTTGTGTTTGACTGACTCGTTTCATATACTCCCTTCCTGCAGAATGAGCCTGAAAGATAAATGCACTTGTTCATATCAGTCAGTGAGACCACACTCACCAAGACTGCTATAAATATGAGTGCAAATATGTGCACCATGTACGGGGACCATAAATTCATGATTCATTGCGAGAGAGCAATTATTTATATATTTACATAGTTCAGCGCTGCCAGTAGCTGTTTTTTCTGTCCCAAAATTTGTTTGTGTTGGTTCCTGATGTGTGTCAAATGTTCCCTTCTGGGAGGAGAGCCTGATTTAGACTGAAACCTCACAGTAGCATTTGATCCTTCTCAGACTACAACACTGAGATGATCCCAAATTAACTTACTGGAGTTGCCAAGCACAGAATATAAATAAATTGTTTTACAACACTGCAATTAAAGCATCACTCAGATGCTGTGATGCAGTTGATTACCCGTAAAGGGAACTTCTCTGATACAGTAATGTTGATAATAAAACATTGTAACATCAATAATATGTAGATAACAAAGCATAATAAAGCTGGATCAGAGCATAATCCAATGTTATTAAAAGATTAAATGTGTCTGCTACACTATGACATAATTGTCTCTCTTCTTTCCTGTCTATAGAAACAGCCCCCAAGGCATTTGGGATCCCTCTGTCCCAGGTGATCGCCAACGACCGCGCCTATAAGCAGCGGCAGGACGCTCTGAAGGAGAGCCGCAGGGACTGTCTGGAGCTGGAAGCCAGTGTTATGCGCTTCAGGGCAGAGAAATGTCAGCAGAATGGCAGCACAGCCATGGCTCCTGGAGCCTCATCCTCATCAGTACTGGAGCTCCACAACAAGCCCCTCTCCCCGACATTCCTGGACAACAGCTCGCGCAGTCACAGACGGGTAAGAGCCTAGACCACTGTTCTGCTCTTCGCTGCTTGGAGAGCTACAGCAACTCGACAGCGATATGATTTGCTTGGTCTGATGCAAAATACAAACTGTTTTTTATTAATCATTTAAATTGCAGACTTATTATTCAGATATTAGTCTTAAGACTCATTATTCAGTAACGGCTATGAAACTAATATGTATGGCATGTAGATATGAGAGTGAAGAATTAAAGTGTGGGCTCATATACAGACCTTTAGGGTTTAAGGGGTTAATGTAGGCTAAAGAATTTTCGCTAGCAAATCATTGAATAAAATCCCCCAAATGGTGCATTCTAGGAAAAACAGTTCAGATGTTATTGAACAGTTATTAGATGTTATTTGCAAAGCATATTAGGAAAGTGCTCAGTACTTTGTTCAGTCTTGAGCAGCCTGTCTCTGAATATTGTAGTGAGGGGGTGAAGCTTCCCAGCATTCCTCCTTATTTTCCACTTAAACGTTATACAATATTATCAAATCTGTACAGGAAACATATTTATTTGTATGCATAAGCAAATAACGGTGCATACTGATTTAATATCTGTCAGTGTGTTAGCATAACCATTTCTAAATCTCTTCTTGAGGATACCCATGATTTATAGTTAACACGTGATACCTGCTTTAGCTGATCAGGTCTTCACAAAATTAAATCAAGTGATGGAATTTAACAAATCCATGTGGCGACTGAGTGCACAGAGAAGTCAGGATCCAAAATGTGTTGTTCTAACTATATTCATATAAACATGATATCAGTAACTTTGTTATGATTTTCTGTATTTATTTATTTATTCTAACATTATGTGTTTTTTTTTACAAGCAAAAACAGACATACAGCTGAGATCAATATGTTTTTCTTGGCTGCCTAAAACTTTTGCGCAGTATATTTATTATTGTAGCCGTTGAGTTGAATGTAAATGGAGACGCTTAACTCATAGGTGCTGATGCCTGGCCACATCCCTAAAAATATGTTCCACAGTCCGTACTCCAGAATGATATGTGCTGTAAGTGTGTTGACTGGTTTCTCAGTTACTGTCTTAAAGGACCACAGCAACTGCACAGGTTTTGTGTGCCTGTTGTTTGAGCACATTGATATCAGCTGATGAGTTTATTCAGGTGGACTGTGACAGGAAAAGCACAGAACACTGGACTAAACCAAAAAGCTTACAACATACAGAGAAAGAGATTACAGCTAAGTAACAGAGCTCTTTGACACTAGCACAGACAGTTCTGCTGTGAAAGGTGAAGGTTTTAAGCCATAATCCCTTTCATTCCCTGGAATGTTGAAGATCTAAACACAAAGCTTTCAGAATACACAGAGATGTAGGAGGGTAGAATCTAGCTGACAAGAATTTTACAGGGGTGCATGCAAGTTTAGTGTGTGAGTGACAGCGTTTGTATTTGTTTGAGATGAGTTTTTGACTGTGGACATAAGCTTGTGTGTAAACTTGTTGATGTGTGCGTGTGCATGTGCGTTTGTTTTTGGAAAGGCTGTTGTGGGTGGTAATGTTGTGTGTAGCACTGTTTAAGACACAGGGGTTAAGCTGGTAGCGTAGGACCAGGGTTTTCTCTTATCTGTGTTTGTTTTATTAAGTCTAGACTTGATTATTTAAAATGGTAGAGAGCTTCTCCTTCCCATGCAGCAAAGCAGAAAGCTGATCCAGCCCGCCTGTAGGTACAAACAATAACTGCAGAAATATATTTAAAGCAGAATGACACTCAGTTACACTCAGGAACAGGAACATAATATATAATATTCATATTATTACATATAAACGAGTTAGACAGAGAGTTGGGTAAGATAATACCGATGTTATTGTGTTTGTAACGTGAGATAAAGGTCCAAAAAAGGTTCTTTGGAGCAATGCGGTAGAACAGTTTTTCTCTGTCCTGGTCCTGCAGTAACGCTGGTTCTAGAGTTTATCCTGCTCTAACTCACCTCATTCACCTCAAGTCATTTGTGAGTTCAGACCATGTCTTCAACATAGGCTGGAGATCTGGACAGCTTCTGCTTTAAGCTAGGGCTGGATGCTCCTTGATGAACAAAGGTAATACATAAGAATAGGGAGGATGAGTGACAGAAACAGAATGTAGAGATGGAAATTTTTAGGATTTTGATAGGAAGGAGGAGGAATTCAGGTGTCCTTCTCTCGAACTTCAGTTATTTCTTTACTCCATTTTCTTGCATCAGGTTAGTTGGGAGCAGTAGAAACTCTAAAATTTGCTGTAGAAGAACCACCTTTGGTTCCCTAAATAAGGTGGCTCTTTAAAGAATCATTTTATGAATGGATTTGAGTGTAGAACCTTCTTGAAGTTTTAATAACCTCCACTTTATGTATTGTGGTTCTTTCCTACAACTGTATGTTCAAACTCAACCAAGACAAGAACAACTTTAATTTTTTAAATAAATTTTTTAGAATGTACGGAAAAATTGTGCAAATTTTCCTTTGTTTGATTCCTTATTACTTATAAATAATCGTCTCACCCTTTTTTCCTGTTAGGACCATGTTTCTTTCCCTGTAGGATCTTGATAATTTGTGTGGCACAGAATATTTGCTGTTCCTAGCATTACACTGTTCTGGAAATTGATGTTGTCTTTCCTGGAATCTGTGGTACGACTATTCCGCTTAGTTAACCGAGATTTAACCTTCCACATTCTCTCTAGTGCCTCAGGCCACATGAAACCAACACAAAAGAACAAAAACTACAGTCACCATGTTATTTGGTCCAGGATTAGGTTTGCCCTATTATTTTTTTAGGATGATAACATAAGAAAAATAAATATCAGTCTTTATGCAAACATAAAACATCCCACTTGCTCAGTGAAATTCATTGGGGGATTCCACTGAGCAGTCCACATAGCATAGGGCTGGTGCAATCCTGGTGTGCTCAGTTTTTACAGTGAAGGTACTGATGTCTTCTGGGCTCTACAGTTGAGGAAGGACCCCAGTCAGACAAACCAGACGGAAGCATTCCTGGCAGTGTGTATGTTCCTGTCTATGTGGTGGAACTAGTCACATGTGACAACCAACGCACATGGGCTCTTACTCTTAAAGCCATGTTAATGACCTTCATACTTGAAGAAAATGCAAAAACAGAACATGCTACACTCCACTTTGGGCTTGTTTTAGTAAGTTAATGTTAAGATGAATTTGCATACCTTTCATTAATAAATCAGAACATCTACAGTACTGTGCAAAAGTCAAAGACCACTTTTCATTTCTTTAATTTCCAGTCAAAAATTGCCATTAAATACAAGTTATTTGTTTTGGTAGATCTTTCTGATTAGATAATAAACTACCCCAATGCTTAAGAAAGGGGACAGTCACAGGGAAACAGTCGCTTCCAAAACTGGAGTTCAAAAACATGATTAAAAGATACAGAGAAAATAGGACAAGCATGCAAGACCTGGTAGATCACCAAAACTGTCAACAGATAAGCAGCGCTTGAAGCTTTCATCTTTGAGCGAGACGAGAAAATCAAGCTTCAGATCTGAAAAAATCCACAGGTGTTTCTGTCCATCCTTCCAATGTGAGAAGACAACTCAACACTGTGACTCTGAAAAGATGTGTAGCTGTCAAGAAGCCCTTACTGAAACAAGAAAATAGACAAAAAATAAGAACATTTGCAAACCAAACAAAGAAGCTGCTGGTGCTGTCGGAACAATAGACTAACCACCCCAGAGTCCAGACCTCACTGAATGCGTTTGGGATTACTTTGATTGTGAGGAAATGTAACCAACTTCTAAGACTGAACTTTGGAGGTATAAAATCCTTTTTCTGCAGTTTTTGAAGAACTGAGCGAAAGTTTCCTGTTAGAAATGGAAGCTGTAATACAAGGATGGACAAAATAAATACTAAAAAATAATATTATATTTAGCTGTTCAGGCTGTTTTTGGCTGTTTTGACTGGACATTAAACAAGTGGTGGTCTCTGATATTTGCATAGTACTGCAACTTCAAGAATTTGTGTAATAAAAATGAGAAAGTCTTACAGTTAAGGATATGGTATAGATGTAAATTACTTCTGTCCACTTGACTTTTCAGTATCAGTTTTTCTAGACACCTAATCAGTGTGATAAAAGTATAGGAAAGAGTGCTGACCAGACTAGAGGGTGGCAGCGGTGGGTCCTGTGTGGATCAAACAGCTCAGGTTACTGTGTTGCCCCAGCTCAGCATGACTGGAGACTACTTCTCCCTGGGTGGCTGCTGCCCAGCGAGGAGGTATCCATAAACGCCCATCCTGCCAGCGAAATCACTCTGTCCAAACCTAGGCCTGTGAACAAGAGAGAAGAGAAAGGACAGACCGTAGAAATACTGACTCACTGGATGGCTGACGACAGCTGAAGAGCTCTAATGAAAACGTGTTTACATTCTGGCGTATGAACATTTGTGTGACTATAAAAGGATTTACTGTAATTGCATGCTGATGTATTTTCCATTGCCTTTCACTCAGCCGGCCACTTATGGGGTCAAATCTGTGATTCGTAGTGCTAAACTAGAAGGAATTACTGGCTCTCACTGGACAAAATGAGGGTCTCGCAACCACAAGCAGAAATGAATTAGCTCTGTAGACACTTTAAGTTGAGCATGAGAAAGACAGAAGGATCTAGTGTTGTAGTCATGATTAATAGAGGAGAGTTCGAGTCAAAATCAATTTGTATTATCATTCATCATACATGATATATATTAATAAATAGTATTATATATTATATTTTGTAACATATAACAGTAAATAATATATAGCCTAAATATATTATTCATTATTATTGTATTATAGTCTTTTTCCAACTTTGCACTGTAACTTTTGGAAGTAAATGGTGGTGAGGTTATTTTCTGTCCCTTCTTCTCTAAAACTTATTCAGTATCACCACCTAAAGTCAAATGAACATAAACCAAACAGCATACATCTATTTTTATTATTAAATGAAAACATAGTAATTCTGATTTTCTATCAGAAGATGTTTCGATTTTGGAACCAACGAACATCAATAAACAAATAATACTCAGTTACGCTATCATGGAAAGGATCAAGTAGATCCTCAGTTGACAACGAGCAGATTTTATTCAAACATGTAGAGAGAAAGGACTGTTTTATTGTGCTTACTTTTTTATATTTAATGATGATAGAAAAAAGGTTCAATTTGTAATTGCCTCAGATGGAGGTATCATACTCAGCTGATCTCCAGAACAGTTTCAGAGTCTGCCTTACCCCGAAACAGGGACAAGATCAAGACCGTTCATTTTACAGTCTAAAGACCGGACTCAGTACTGAAATCGGTCTTGAGCACTACAACAATAAAACAATAAAATATTATTCAACCATTTTGTATAATTTTTTATATATTTTCATTAGGAAATTTCCATTGGCAGACAACTTTAGCTTGTGTGAAACATTATTTCTCAAAATAATATTATTTCAATATTATCTAGATTTCACTTGTCAAGATATTATTTTCTGCAGTGGAACAATCCAGGGCTCAAAACTCTACGATGATCCTCACCATGAAAATGCAAATCTCTCTCTCTCTCTCTCTCTCTCTCTCTCTCACACACACTCTCTCTCTCTCTCTCTCTAGGGTGGCATGTCAGTGGACTCTATCTCTGACTTGGTGGAGAGTCAGTCCAGGCTGCTGGAGGCTCTGCAGCTCTCTCATCCTAATGAGCTGGACATCAAGAAGACATCGACAGGCCGGACGCAGGGCAAATTGAGTCTGAACCCCATCTACAGACAGGTGCCCCGAGTCATGGAGCGCTGCTGCCAACACATCCTCACCTACGGTCAGCTCTGCTGCAAACTCGCACAGACAAGGAGAAGCTTTTAAATTCATGTGATTAAATTTCAGTGATTTAAAAGTTTTAGAACTGGAAAAATGAGGACATGTTTTATGTAACCACAAGTTCTGTATGGATCATCCTGCTGAACTGGTTCAAAGAGTTCAAAACACTTTTAACTTACTTGGACTTTAGACTTAATTCTATTTGATGCTTTAAATGACCCTATAATTTAATTATGTTCATTTTATTAACATAAAGGATTGAAAATTCCATTTTGTTGCAAACAAAACAATTATAACACTGCAGAAACTTCCAAACAAATGAAAAAAGTGACTTTTCTGTCGTGACAATTTTAGCTCATTTTGAGCGTAACTCAAAAATGCTAGCCAGTACATGACAAGTGAACACCACTTTGAAGTGAAAAACATGTTTCAGTAGTGACAAGTCTTGATATTACACACTGATTTTCAGACTTTGGGACACATTTATTTTAAAAAAATGAAATCTAACTGTTTACCATGTGGCTCTGAGGAACAGGGATGCAGTCTCACTTCCTGTTCTAAAATGCAGGGGTGTGGCTAAAATAAGTCTCCGCCATGAACTAAAACTCTGTGTTTCAGACATGAAAATGTGGGATAGCATTTTATAAAATCATTATATAATAAATATATTAATATATAATAAATCTATAATAAATCTTACAATATAATAATAATAATAATTATTATTATTATTATTATTATTATTATTATTGTTGTTGTTGTTGTTATTATTATTATTGTTATTATTACTATTATTATTATTATTATTATTATTTATCATTAGAATAATTCTAAATTTAAAAGAAATCAAAAAGATCTTTAAAAAAATCTTTAAAAAAATCTTAATAATGCCTTGGGTTTAAATAGATCATAGCACAATCCTTGTTAATATCTAAGGTCTACTTAATATGGTCCATATAGTATATTACAATGTTACATGAAAAGGTTTAATAGAGACATTGTTGCAGTGCACAAGCTCAGGGCTCAAATCCCTCTGAATGCAAGTTACAGAAGTCTGTATATCAGTAGAGGTGCTGTAGTATGAGTGTGCAGTATGTAATGTGAGCAGTAATGTAATGACTCTGTACTTAAAGCCTGAGTGAGGACAAAACGAAACCTGAGGCGAGCATCAGCAGATTCTGAAAACGCATTTCTTCCTCTTTGCCTTCGTTCTCCAGGGCTGCAGACGGTGGGGATTTTCCGAGTGGGTAGCTCCAAAAAGAGAGTGCGCCAAGTGAGTGTGATCTTACACTGCCCTCTCTTGTCAGCTCATGCTAAAGCACTTGTTTTCTGTAACAGATCTGTTTTTTTGTCTCTGACATCTCCAGTACTCTCTGTCCCCTTGACACAGATATCTGGGTTTGTGTTGGTACTGTTTGTATTTAGTTTGGTTAAAACCTTTTAGTTTGCTAAGTGCATTTCCTAAGATGTTGACCTTAGTGCTTGTGTGCAGTTTCCTGTTGTCACTGAATGGCACTGATGTGTATGTGTGTGGGAAACTGACCCTTGCTTGACCACATGTGCTCATAAGAGATGGGGTGTTTGTTCAGAAGTAGAGTACTAATTGTATGTGAGTACAGCACTTTGCAAACCCCCCCTTCATTTATTTAATTTCCAGTCAAAACAGTACAAGTTATTCATTTTCAGTGTCAGGAAAAAGCAGAAAGCATACATTTTCAGAAAATTACGCAGAAGCCTCAGAAATTAAATTCAAATTCAAGTCAAATTTCCAGCCTCCATTCTTTTCAGGACACCTGCTTTCAGATTTTTTAAGAAAACTGCAGGGTTATTTTTCCAGACCTCCAAAGTTCAGTCATAGAAGTTGGTTGTATGTTCTTCTTCTTCTTACAATCCAAATAATCCCAACACACACTCAGTGATGTTTAGGTCTGGACTTTGGGGTGGTCAGTCCATTGTTCTACAGCAGCTTCTTTATTTGAGTTGCAGATTTTCTTCTTTTTTGTCTATTTCCTTTCCTCAGGAACAGCTTTTTGAAATACAGGGTTGTCTCTCCTGTTTTTACAGTACTGTATGTCAGTGTCTACCTGCACCTGTGATGAAAGATTGTTGATGTGTTCATATGTGTGAATGTGTCTGTTTGTTTAAATATATGTCACATCTGTCGTGTGTGGGTCAGCTGCGTGAGGACTTTAACAGTGGGACAGATGTTTTGCTGGACGAGGAGCACAGTGTTCATGACGTGGCGGCTCTGCTGAAGGAGTTCCTGAGGGACATGCCTGATCCCCTGCTTCCCCGAGAACTCTACTGCGCCTTCCTGCATGCTAACCGTACAAACACACACATATTACAGATACACACACAGCCACGTTCAAGCACATTCAGATGCAAAACAATGCTTATATATATATATATATATATATATATATATATTATTGGCTTATATAATATACAATTTGGACCCCCTGGTCAAATTACATGATTTATTGATTTTACTCTACAGAGAACACACTTCTGCACATTTTAATGCACAATTACTGTTGATTTGCTGAATTTAGCATTAGCAAAAAAAAAAACATAAAATGTTGCCTATGCAAAGCATTTTAGCATTAAGTTTTGGGAAACAACAAGAAGAAAAATAAATAAAATTCAAATATTAATTTAAATTAATGTAATTATCTCTCTGCATTGACATTTGTGCATCATTTTTCAAATATGAGGCATTCTAGATGTTAATATTTAATGTAAATTTATGCTTTCTCTATCATTTTAGAATCACCTACAGCTCTGTTCATTGGTCTGGATCTCTGAATGTTTTTATCGCTTCTTACTGATTATTTGAAATCAGTGATGTAGCACAGGACTAGCATATTAGAATCATTTAAAAGATGTATCTGCTAACAAATTGGTTTTATATTTTTGAGAACAGTGATTCAATACTTGAAGGGTAGTGTGTCAATCTTAGGTATAAACCCACCGTGTGTGTGTGTGTTACAGATTTGCGGGGAGCTGATCAGCTGACGTATCTGCAGCAGTTGTTGTATCTGTTGCCTCCATGTAACTGCGACACACTGTTCAGACTGCTGAGTTTACTGCACACAGTCCAGGAGCACGCTCACGACTCCAGTGGCCCTGACCAGCAGGAGGTAACTCACCCTGACCTACACTCTCCTCACTCTGGCACTGCCTCATGCTCAACCTGCTCTTTAAAACTCGGCCAGTTTACTACATTTGCCTCTGCCAATACACGTCCACAACAACCCGTATTTATTATTAAAGGGGAATTCCACCAAAATTTCTGCATAACTAAATGGTTACGATATCAACAAAGTCATTCAGATTGGTTTAACTTGAATTGATCTGTTCTAGAGAAACTCACCAGAATTGGTCACAGTGGTCATGGTAGGAACCAGATGCCTGAACCATTAAACGCCTCAAAATACTCCCTCACAGAAAGTTATCATATATTGGTTATCAGTGCCTGATTCCTGAAACATTGTTTTTACAATAGTACTGAGATAAGCTTTTAGCCAGAAACCTATTTTTAAATACATTTATGAGAAGGAGGTACTTTAGCACAGTTGTAAAGCAAAGAAGTAACCAAATCAACATTAGAACTTTGCATATAAAACTCAGAAGAGAAATGAGAAATGTTCACGTGGCCTTTTTCTGCAAATTTTAGTGTGCAATTCCTAGGTATTTGCTGAGTTTAACAAGCTGGAAAAGTATAATATAAAATGAGCCGTAACTTTTGCACAGGCCACACGTTTTACTTTGTTTTCTAATATGTTAAATTTAGTCAAACAGTAAACAGTAATTGTGCAGTAAAATGTGCAAAAGTGCTTTCTCTGTGCAATTTGTCCAGGGATGCCCAAACCTTTGCACAAAGGTGTATTTTTGTTTGCTTTTTGTTTCAATTAATTTTTTCACACTGTGTTATTTGTCTATGCTGTGTTACAGTTGTGTAGTAACTCTCCTTTTTGCCTCCATCTCTATGTATTCCCTTTGCCTGTGGCCTGTTCAGGTACCAGGTAATAAGATGACGGCAGCGAACTTGGCTGTGATCTTTGGGCCAAATCTTCTGCAGAAGGAGAGAGGAGCAGATAAGGACCTGAGCCCACAGGCCATGGGCATAGAGGACAGCGCTGCCATCATCTCCGTCACCCTACTGCTCATCCAGCACTACAAGCGCCTCTTCACGGTGAGAGAGGGCTGGAGAGGGAGGGAGAAGGAAAGGACAGGATAGATAATGTGTTCAAGCCTGCACTCACAGAAATCTTTCCCAAGAGACACCAATGGCATTTTAATGTTTGTTTTTCTGGTTAAACTCAACCAGATTGGATTACTTGGAGCTGGAGGGCGAACTGTGCATCGTACATGTTGTACTTTTGTATGTTATTTTTAAATTTAAATTGTTTATTTTGGGGTGACATAATACATTTTTTCTTAATTCTTATCACAATGTTGCCTTTTGCACTACCTCTACGTGTACAGGATGCAGTATGCAAATGAGCCCTCTAGCCAATCACAATATCCCTTATTCATCCAAGTTGCTGAAAAAAGAGTGCAAATTTGACTGCCTTTAATGAAACTTTAATATGATGTGGAAACGAGCAGATATTTGAACGCAAATGTTAAACTAGCTTCAGCGCATGAAATTAAGCACCAGCCTACCAGTACCTCATTTACAAATCATTTACAAATCATTTGACAATAGTATAAAACAAAAGCACAGTGTGAAATGTTGTTAAATGGAACAAAAAAAATATTTATACATGCAAAACATCCACTTTTGTACTTGTTGCCATGTTCACACATTAGTATTACTGTCATCTTGTTTTATTCTTATCATTGGTATTATAGGTGATACTGCTAAAAGTTTTGGGTAGTTAACCACAAATCAAGCATTTTTTCAGGTTGCTAAACTATTACACTACTACCAGATGTGAATTTGATTGTGTAGATGAAATTGATTAATGGCTACTTTACTTTTTATACCACTTTATTGACTCACCAGTGTATTTTATTATATCATATGAGATTTTGCAGTCCTACTATGTGGCAATATAATTTTAGTACTAGTAGGCTAATTTGTCCATGTTGTGCAACTCTGCGTTTTTTACATATATACTTGATTTTAATTTATATTACACCAAGAAAAATTCATGGTATATTTTGTTGTTGGTGAAAATAGATTCCGTTTGTGGTATTATGATATTATGAGAAAAATAAATTCATCAAGGATCAGCATTCCTATTCTTTATAACTCCATGTGTCTGCTCATATGCAGGTGTCTGCAGAGCTCCAGCAGGAGGTGCTTATGAGTCTAATTCAGACTGACCCAGATGTCATAGACTACCTACTGCGCAGGAAACTCAGGTCAGTTAAAGGAGTCTTTCAGTTTATTTTTTGCTGTTAAAAGCGTGGTTTCCTGCCTTCTGCCCAATGACCGCTGGGATAGGCTCCAGCTCCCCCCGCGACCCAGAAGGATAAGCGGCTTAGATAATGTGTGTGTGTGTGTGTGTGTGTGTGTGTGTGTGTATGTTAAAAGCATGTATTCACAGATTATCTCTGGACAGTGGCAGATTTTATCAGTATAATATTAATGAACCTTTCCTTCTGTGGCCTGTGACAGTGGCAGTAGTGTGACGGTGGAGCCGGATGTTGGGGCCCGCAGGGACACTCAGACATCTCTAGACTCAGTGGGTCAGTCCAGTGATGACCTGTCCCCAGTAGAGCCCATCTCCCCTCTGTTTGGGGACTCGGCCAGTAGAGGCAGTCTGAGCAGTGAGGTTTTCTTTAACGTGCTGCGCCTCAACACCAACAGAAAACGTGAGTCTTACTGCTGTTTCTGGAGTTCAAGAGGCCACATTCTTGTATTTTATTTTCTTTCCACCTATAACATTTGTGTGGTTTTATTTCCTAAAAACAGTCATAACACATTTTTTACGTGACTATTTTCCAACCTGTCTTTAGCACTTGGAGTGAAATAAACAGTGCCTTTTGGAAAGCTATGCAGTATTGCATTTCTGTTCAAAACATGCATCTCCATTTTTTCTGATTTTTACTTTTCTACATCATTTAAACACAGCTGCCCTTTACATTGTTTTCCCAACATCTTCCATTCCAGTAACTCTTCTGGATACTATTTGCAGTAATAGGTAGTTATGAAATAAAGTTTGTAAAGAGGACCATGTCTGAAACACCTGCTATTTCCTATTTTCCATTTCCTGAGACAAAGTTTTCATACCCCACCACATGCTCATCTCCTCCCTGTTCCTCAGTCCTATTTCTAATCATCAAGTACGAGGGTCCAGCCTTCTATCCTAGAGTACAACCACCCAAAACAGAGTTCTCAGAATTCTCTTCCCTCTTCCAGTCATACAATCCCTTCTAATTGCCAAAATAAACTGTTGTAGGCTGAATGGGTGGTCAAATGTAGATGTCTTAAATGGTTGCGACATCACATCCATGCACTAGCATTGACCTGGTTGGCTTGTATTGTGTTATTTTTCTCCAAGATGTCTCTATAGTTATTATGCACTTGTGTGTGTGGTTGTTTAGGTTCTTCAGAGACTCCAACAAAGTCTATAGCCCAGATGCGGCAGTTCCACTCCCATCACAACCTAATGAGCCTCACTCAGCCTTCCAGCCACCTCCTGGTCGATGAACGAGAGGAGCAGGAGCGGGAAGGTGGCTTCATGGGGCAACCTTGTCCAGGAGAGGGCCAGCGTGACAGTGGCTCCCAGCCCCAGAGCCCTAAAGAGCGGAGTGTGTGGGTGCGGCAGGGCTCCAACGCCTCCTCCACCACCTCAGAAGACAGCAAGCAGCCAAGCAACTTCTGGGACTTTTTCACTGGCAAGGTGTCAGGCTCTGAGACCATAGTATGACCTCTAGACCAGCTAGAGTAGTTTGCATAGCAAGTGTGGACTGTAGAATTATTCACCTGCTTCATAGAGACTGTAATACTCTCTCTTTAACAAACCCACACCTCACAACAAAATACTGTGTTGTGGATATTGTGTGCTTTCTTGAGATGTTAGTTAACCCTCCTACTCCTTTTGTTCTGAAGTGCCATACAGTGCATGATCATATGTGGCTACATTACAAACACCAGCAGAGAATGACTGTATTGTCCATTGGACGAATGGTAAACCCAGAGGAGCCAAGTGATACGTAACAACCATAATCAGTGTTAAGTGTTAAAGGGGAATTTTACTAACTTTTCAATATTTATGCATAACTCATCATTAAGATGTAAACAAAGTTGATTTGGTGTGAAATGCTCTGTTCTAGAGAAACTCAGAGTTGTTCACAGTGATGGTGATAGGAACCAGACGTCTGAAGAAATTCAACGCTCCTAAAATCTCCCTCACAGAAACTTATTGCATGAAGTGGTTATGAATTAGATGTCTGAGACATTGTTTTTACAAAAGTTTTGAGAAAGTTTTAACTTAAAACATATTTTTAAAATCCATTCTTGTGCAGTGGAACATATAAGGCTTTACAAGAAAATCAGTCCCCAAAGAAAACCTTTTCCGATTTACCACTATTTTACTATTATCAACATTGCATATAAAAACTCAAAAGACATGCGCATGTTCACTGGTCATTGTGAATAGTAAAAAAAATGGCTATATTTCGGTTGTAGGCATCATGATCAGGTTTCCATTTGGGTTCTCTACAGTGAACCATTTCACATCACACCACTATCTTTGTTCATATCTCAACAATTGAATTATGCAGAAATGTGGGAAAATCTGTGGGATTCCCCTTTCATATGAGGATATTCTTTTAAAATGGAAATTTCTCTCTGAGGTATTTGATATACATGGGCCATAAATCTTGGCCACCATGAAGATGCTGTTTAGTGTAAATATGTCATAAGCAGTTACTGTACTCACACAGAGAGCAGCTTTTATATACATGGCTTCAAACATGCCTTCCCTTCTGTGGGATTTTTCTTTTTTTATCACAAAACTGAAAAAATAAAAGATTGTTTTGAAATGACTCCCTTAGAGCTGGTTTCTCTAAGGAGCCTAAAATTGTTCATAAAGAGGTGTTTCTCACTAGCCCTTTATGCTGTAGACTACCTACAGGTTCCCATCCTCACCACTTGCTGCAATGATCTAGAATTGTGGTTCCCAATTTCCAGTCCAGGAAACTCCTGTTCCTGCATGTTTTGCCTGTATCTTCCCTGCTCCAGGTTGCCTTAATTGCATAACCTTTTTAATTAGTGGCTTAAAATTAGCTGATGAGTAAAGTGTGTTAGATTTGGGAAAACACAATCAAAACGTGACTCAGATTGTGAACCTCTGTTCTACAACGTTTGTACAGTTCAGTCGGGATGCACTGATATGGGAATTGTTGGCTGATATTTTTCATGTAAATATCTGCTGATGGCGATACATAAACATTTAGAGTTGTATACAAGAAGTTTAAGCTCCCCTGATCAAATGACACGTTTTGTTGATTTTTCAAGTGAAATAAGTTAATCCTATACAGAGAACTCACTTCTGCACACCTCAGTGCATAATTACTGTTTATTTGCTGTATTTATTCATTTAACTGAAAAATAAACAAACAAAATGTGTCAAATGTAAAAGTTACGGCAGATTTTAAATGTTATATTTTACTAATATGTTAAACTCAGCAAATAAATAGAAATTGTGCACTAAAATTAGAGGGTTGCAAATGCAGTAAAATGAATCAAATGCAATTATTTGATCACCATAGCCCACCATCACCTAAACCCTCTGCTCTTCTAAAGTGCAATAAATACATCACTGAACATTGTTTTGAAATATCAGTCAAATCTAAACACCTGTCTGATGATATTTTTTAAGCAATTACCTGCTGATACCAATATGATTCCAAAATCATTGTGCATCCCTACTGTTTAGTGTTTGTTGCTTAATAGAACAGCCCTACACTGTTAAAAAAGATGGTTCTTCAAGGGTTCTTAAGTAAACAAAATGGTTCTATATAGAGCAATGAACACCCAAAGAACTCTTTATATGATTAAAGGGTTCTTTGCATCATGAAAGGGTTCCTCAGATTGATGGACAATGTGTTGTAGATGGTTCTCTATAAAATCTTTTTAAAACGGGTTCTATATAGCACTCAAAAAGTTTGTTTTACTGTAAATATGTCTAGCTTGTAACAATAGAAGAACCATTTTGGGTGCTATATAGAACCCTTTTCAAAAAGGTTCTATGTAGCACTATGTACAGCACATTCTCCATCAAGCTGAAGAACCCTTTCATGATGCAAAGAACCATTTACGTGTATACGGTTGTATATAGAACCATTTTCCTTACTAAAGAACCCTTGAAGAACCTTTTTTAGGAGTGAACTTATCATCACTATGATAGTTAAACCTTGTATCTCCAAACTGGCAACTTTACAGAAGAAAGAAAAGTAATGCAGCCAGAAATTTTGGATCATTTTTATAGGTTCATTTTTCATGAAATGCCAACACATTATAAAGCTCAACTGCTGTGCTAAAATATGACAGCGATGTTATATTCCTCTGAATCCTCCTGACACAAGGGGCTAGAAATGATGGTGAAACTCAGTGTGATAAGGCCTTGAGAAATCATTTAAATAGTAAAGCTGTGGAGAATTCCATTTCAAAGGCAGTTGATTAATGAATTCATCCACATCAAGAAAATAATTTACATATTGAACATGCATAATAATATATGAGTGAATTTGGAATGTACGTTTATTAGCTCATCATAATTGGAGGAGCCAAAACGGGATCGAGCCCAAGCCTGCTTTGCAGTAGCCATTTCCTTTTTTCTCCTGACTTTACCAGTCGTCCCTGTGGATGTAATTAGACACCTGTATTTAAATGCAATTTTAGTTTCATCAACATTTCAAAGACTCCGGTCTTCTGGCCGAGGCAGCTGCTTGAAGCTTGGTCTTCAATATTTCATACCCTTCAGAGACATGGGCACCAGTATCTACACTTCCAAATAAAAGTATAATCTCAATGTTTTGTCTAGCAGTGAGTGTTTATTTGATTCAGATCTTGGAAAAGAGGCTCTTGCTCTTGCTTAAACTCTGCTATGACTATTTTCTTACAGATAACCATGATCAGAAGAAGTCCATCTCTCCAAAACTTCTTCATCGACCACTCTCAGTTAGAGAAAAGTTGAATAGGAAGGAACGGTAAGGTGAACGTTTTTGGAAAGCACAAGGACATTTTTCTACCATCTACAGTGTTTTTTTTTGGTGTTTTTTTTTGTTTTTTTTGTACTTTGGGAGAGCTCTTTTGTGGAAAACCGGAGCAGCACTGTCTCAAAGCAGAATGCTGAAGATGTGATGCAGTGATGAACCACAAGGGAGCAATATTTCTCTGAAACCTACACTGACCCATCTCCACTAATATGAAGGTGGCTCCAAGCTAGTCTAGCATTCCTTTAAAGGGGAATGCCACCGATTTTTCAGAAGTTCTACCTAATTAAATATTTGAGATGAAAAAAATCATTCAGAGTGGTTTGGTGTGAAATGCTCTCTTCTAGAGAAACTTACAGACTCAGAATTGTTCACAGTGGTGGTGATAGGAACCAGACGTCTGAAGAGTTTAATGCCTCAAAAGCATACATGCAGCACAAAAAGTTACTACACAAAATGTTCACAAATACACTACCTAATGCCTGAAAAGCTGTTTTATAATAGTTTTATGATGAAGTTTTGGCCTAGAGCTTTTTTCTAAATTCATTCATAGCATTTTTACTACTTTTTTACTACTACCACTTTTTACTACTTTACCATTATCAACGTTACATATAAATACTCAGAAGACACGTGTAGATTCACCCATCATTTTGAAAAGCAAATAAAATGTCTATATTGACCACCAATCTAAGTCAGTAATGCAATATTTCACATCAAACCACTGAATGATTTGTTTACATGCTAACAATAAAATTATGCAGAAGTTTAGAAAAATCAGAAGAAGTCATACTATCAGCATCTAAGAGGCTATGTTAGAATCCAGACGTTGAAGGCATCCTTCTTTTAACTCTGAGGAAAGAAGACTAATTGGAATATGCACCACTTGATTTAGCAGGTAAACTGTCACAGCCACAGGAGACGAGGACTGCTGAACCTTTGTGAAAATTGTATATATGAGAAGCTATTCATACTGCATAACCCTCTGAGCACTTTGTCCATATCTATACAACACCATGAGCTTTGAATAAAAACATTACTGTGAAACGTGATGCATTTTGTCTGTATTAAAGGGATGATTTACTGCTGTTTTTACCAATAGACTCCAAATATATAGGATCTCTGAAAATGAATTGTGCAGAAATTGTTCAGATTGACCCACTGTGGTCTGAGAAACTCAGTGCAATGCAGCCAGTTACTCACTAGGTCTTCTTGTTTTTACATTCGTCCATTATATCAGCTCCACTTACTATATAGGTGCACTTTGTAGTTCTACAGTTACAGACTGTAGACCATCTGTTTCTCTGCATACTTTGTTAGCCCCCTTTTACCCTGTTCTTTAATGGTCAGGACCCCCACAGGACCACCACAGACCAGGTATTATTTGGGTGGTGGATCATTCTCAGCACTGCAGTGATGCTGACGTAGTGGTGGTGTGTTAGTCTGTGCTTGTGTGAGTGGATCAGACACAGCAGTGCTGCTGGAGTTTTTACTGAAGCCATCACTCCAGCTGTCCCACATTTTCATGTCACTACAAAAACATAGTCTGTAGGTGGAGTCTTATTTTAGCTACACCTGCATTTTAGGCTCCATCTCTGTCCCTCATGGCCACATCGTGCACAGTTAGATCCCAGTTTTGAAGTAAATGTGTCCCAAAGTCTGAAAATCAGTGTGTAAGCTTAGGGCTTGTCATTACCGAAACTTTTCTGTGTTTTAATGAAAAAATAATAATTTTCTGTGTTTCCCTGTGAGCATGAACTTGAAAAGGAGATGTGCAAGTTTGTTTTGAGTTTGTCGCTGATAACTATGCACTATTCACGAAAGCAATGCAACCTTTTGTGCCGTGTCTGATTGGAAACTACACAAGAAATCAAATGCCTGCCATTATTACCATGGGATCTTTAGATTCTTGGTGCCATAATTTGTCAGAAACATTCTCCTGGTGAAAAGGAGGTGCATTTTGATATGTAAAATCAGGGAACTACCCCTTTAAGGATACTTAATATTGAGCCATTGTGTGCAACGTAGCCAAAGCAATGAAGATCACTAATGGACCTTTCAGAAGAACTAATCATAAGTGGACCTCACTGTTGCTGTTCTCGAGGGCCGTCCTCCTGACAAAGAAACACACAGACCACAAAGCAGTTGATGTCTTTTTTTTTTGTTTTTCTTTTTATTGGAGACAGGTTGGACCAGTCCCATCTTTCATTCTTTCCATACACTTCATCCCAAGCCCTCTTTTTTACAATCTGTACATTGTTTGTCAAAAAGTGCACTTTTTTTAAACCAGTATTGAATCAAATGTTGCCACTGTGCGCAACAGGCAGTGGTTGTGGGGAGTGAGGAGATCACAAAAATCACATAGCTTTGCACACTGTGGTACTCTGAATGTTAGCATGAGATAACTTGAGGCAGCATTGCACTTAACGTTTGCAGTAGCAAGCTAGCTTGCTAATGCTAAATTTAATTCTGTAATTATTATGATCAGTGCATAAATGTGTGTCAATGACTAGAAATGACCCTTGTGATGTAGCCTACTGCATATCTGAATAGGCTGAGTGCTACAGCATTCTCTTAGCCTACTTGGCTCCAACTGTGCACATCTTTCTTATTATACCAATCAAAAACCAAACCCCATTACCAAATCATACAATTCTGTAGCCACAATTTGCCCAAATAAAATCCCACCACACCAGTGGCATGCCCAAATGAATGATCAATTAGCAAATATATATATATATATAAAACAATGAACATCTATGAAAAAATAAGTTAGAATTTTACATAAATTATGAAGTAGAATGAAAAAACAAAGACTTTCAGCACCCTCTCCCTCCTTTCCTTCGTCTGCTTACTAGTCAAATCTAAAACATAAAATGTCCAGTTAATGCACACTAGCAGTTTTAACGCATGTTGATAATGACCGTTCCATTTCAGACTGTTATAAAAGAAGTATAAAGTGTTATAAACATGGCATCACACCATATGTTTTGTTGTACCTGCACATTCCTTATGCTGGTACACATCAGAACTAGGTTGTCTTAAAGGGGATTCACACTGATTTTTGAAAATGTATGCAGAATTTAATCAGTAAGATGTGAACAAAGTCATTCGGAGTGGTTTGATGTGAAATAATTCGTTCTAGAGAAACTTAGCGAGTCAGAATTGTTCACAGTGGTGATGACAGGAACCAGACATCTGAAGAGTTTAATACCTCTAAAAGCTACGTCGCAGTATACGCTATACAATTTGCTACTTGGTGCCTGGGACATTATTTTATGATAGTTTTGAGAGGTTTTGACCTCTCAAAACTATCAAAAAAATGTATTTATTCATAGCAGAGAGGTAAATGCAGGGAGCTCTAAAGCAAAATAGTCACTTCTTTGTTGGATTTCCCACCATTTTACCAATATCAACATTAAGTATAAAAATCAAAAGACATCTAGGTTCACTGGCTATATTTGCATTGTACACTTCCCTGGTTCGTATCACCACAAACTGTACTGAAATCTGAGTCTGTAAGTTTCTCTACAATACACCATTTTACATCAAACCACTCTGAATTCACTTTGTTTACATCTTAACAATTGAGTTATGCACATATTTAGAAAAACTGGTGGAATTCCCATTTAACACAATCATTATATCTGCAACGGCTGCTACCCATTTATAACATTTACACCAGCTTCATAACAGTTGTAATACCATGCACAAGTTGTTTTACAGAACTTGTGAAGTTTAATGCAGCAAAGTCAGTTTAGAATCCTCACGTGTGTATTCAAGAAGAAAGGAGTCAAATAAAACCAACGTGCAATTTACATGACGAACTGCACAATGAGAAACAAACGCATTCATTTAAGTCCTCCTGGTGGCTACATTCAGGTGGAAACACAAGATGAGCTCATTTTAATGCAGAGAGAAGAGGTCTGGATAAGCATCCAGGGACCAATAAAGTACACTGAAACTTTATGTACAATTATGACATCAGGCTGTCATTAAGGCATTTGTGCCTTTCTTAATTTTGTGGAAGAATTCAAGACCTCAAGACTTCAAGAACTCAAGACCATTTATGTTCCTGTGGAGTTTCTTTAGCAGCAGTGAGGCAGCAGAGTGCGAATGCCCTCACTCTACCAGAGAGTGGGCATGTTCACCAGTGATGCTGCAGCCAACGGATCACTGACTCGGACTCGCTCCAAGAAAACAAAAAGGAATACCAATTATGTCATGTTTCCCAAATGAATCTACGCTACACTGATTTCTACCTATGATAATTGCAATTCAAGGTGGGCATGAATGGCTGTGATGATTTTAGAAAAATAGTTCACATGATGATGTTCTTTGTGCTACAATGAGTTTGTGAAATTTGAACATGGCCAGTTTGAGGGAATCACTGAGCTGTTCTAATGACCCATAAAGTAAGTCAATCCTCTGTTGTGCAGTTGAGCTGAAAGTTCAGAACAACTTGATATTTGTGAACAGGTTCCTGACCACGCGAAAGCAAACGGTCCGCAATGCTGTGCTTCACTTCTTCTCCTTCCATTCTCCTACTGCATCAAGTTAAAAACAAACAGACACTGAATATAAAGACAAGGAGAAAACATGAGTCGCTACACATTCAAAACCATAAATGAAGTTTTGTTGTAAAACGAACCTTCTATTAACTGAAAAAAAAACGCTAAATTCAATTAGCAATAGCATCAATAATTTAGCAATGCCACTATATCCAATACCGTGTGCATAAATGCTGCAAAACGGACGTCTTTTATGTTATGACTGGCATTGCTATATCTGAATTTCTCTTTACAATCTACAGAGTGCACACTACAGGCCATAGTGTGCGCTCCCTGAAGTGTGCACTCCATGACGCAATCAAAGCACTGCACCTGCACACTGCGCCCTTCCAATAGTCAGACTGCTTTACATTCATTTTAATACTCAACCAGAATCCCAAAAAGCCAACTCAGCCTCATTTACAACTAAACTGCCGCACAGGCACCACACCAGTACCCAAAATCCTCTCTGCTTCACAAAGCAGATGTCACTTCACTCACTGCCAACCCACAGGCTTCCTTCCAAAAGAACATTTCTGTGAATGATCACTTGTGCCTACTCAAAGAAAACAAACAAAAAAAAAAACCCTCGTCCACATCACTGTAATTAAAACCAGCCAAACCCATTTGCTGAGATGGAGCAGAAATGCACTGTATTATTGCCACATTTAATATGATAACTAAAGGACCTATTCTAGAGACATCAGGCAATCATAAATAGCTGGCTGATTGCTAAGCAAACAGAATTCGTTTTACACTGATCACCAGACATGTACAGGTGTGGAATCTCTTCATCAAACATGATGCTGTGCCAAAAATCTCACCTTTTACAGTAGGTCAATCTGCCATGACAGAACTTAATTCAAAGTGTCATGCAGCAAAAAATGAATCCCATAACATCAGACCTCCCTTCACCACCTTTCTCAAGCAGGTCAACTTGTTAAAATAAGTGACTGTGTTGTCCATCTTTATGTCGTCCAAGGTTCTCTGCGTCTCCTCGGCTGTGACTGATGGAGGATGTGTGCATGGAACTCAACAACACAAAGCAGGGGAGTGTGGCGATGAATAGCCTCCAGACTGCCATTGCTTCTGTTTGGAGATGGTTGTGCCGTGTCCAGGTCGCTCTGGCATCAACTGCTCCTGTCTGCTTGATGCTCCGGTGCAAAGCCTCGCTGATGGACCTGGATGACTCGGGGACTCGACTGAGAGGGTCTGAAGTGGGGGGGCAGAGCATGCCTAAGTAGCTCAAGCCCGCCTTCTCCCTAACCCTGACTTTCACAAAGCCACATTCTCTCACTCCCGTTGGCTTAGTCTCTGGACTGGTAGAAGAGGATGTACCCTGACTCTGAGTTTTTGGAAATGTCAGATGTCAGCCCATAGAACTCCTCTATTGCCTGGGCATCTATTTTCTGCAAAGAAAGAGAGAGGTTTAATTTTCCATTTGATCATGTTACTCGAATAAAAAAAATCTGCTTGTACGTGAGAATCTGAGTCCGAAATTTAAACATTTCTGACTTAAACTGGCAAGTAGGAGGAAGAGTTCACAAGACCAATGACATTGTTTTTTAATGGCTTTCTTCCAGACATGGACTGCCTGGTCAACTCATATGAGTAATGTTACAATTGGGCCTGTCACTGTTAATACATAATAATCTGATTACAATTTTTGTTTATAAATATGTTTACATCGCAACAAACAGAATGTGAATTGGGTGCACTTTCATCAGTTGGGTTGAGGCAAATAAATGTAAATAAAAGAAAGCAAAAAACATTGAGACACATCATGAGCCCAAAGTGACAAAAGTTCTAACTTTTGATCATTGCTATAACACGTTTAGAGGGCAGCAGTGAGAAATGTTTATTTATTTGAGCTGTGTCTGACGTCAATTGGAAACTACTAAGCACTGACAGCTAGAAAGCAAGACAGCCAATCAGGTCATTTTAGGCTTTAATATTATTATTATGGATATAATTAACAAAAAGACAATTCAATTGTTAAGTGCAGGTATTCCATTATTTGGCAATTTATCACCAGCAAAAATTCCATGATCATGACAGGTATAATTACAATTATTTAAAAACATAGTCATATATAAATTAAAGTTTGGTGCTGTATTTACCATTGGTATATTGTCTGCCAGTTTGGTTTACTACATTCACATGGCATGACAAATGTACTTGCCAGTTAAAGTTACAAGTGACCACAATTTCACCATGTGTATGTGGTAAACTCAGAAATTCTTGAACTTAAGAGTTCACAAGAACTGTTCAAACACATCATTAGTAGGCCTGAAAGGGAGTGAAGCATGTTTGCGGCAGGTTAGATGAGTAAAAGAACAGTCAGGCTGAGTGACATCCATGCTCAGATGTCTGCCACTATGAGGCTAGGCCTAAATGAAATCAAGAGGACCTGCAGGAATCCCAGTAGACTAGCGGTATGAACACTTACACTGTGGAAACTTCATTCCCAGCCAACTCTCCCTCTCTTTTCCTGACCAGATGTGCTGCTGGGAAGATGCTCCGCAGTGGAAAATCTAATCTGTGCTTTTCCCTAATGCATATCCTGGCGTAGCAGAAGCCAGGACTTAAAGGAACCTCACTACTCCATTAAAATCTCAATAGACTTTCTCAACAGATGTTAAAATTTTGTTTAACAGCCAAATGCTTCTTACCCCCCACCACACAATATTTTTGCACCTCAAAATCACAGCAGACTGTTCCTGAGCTTTTCTAAATGTTTTAAAACAGCTTATGTTAGAACATAAGGCTGATTTATACTTCTATCAAGCAAACGCTGATTTGCTATCTGGTAGCACTGGGGGTGGGTAGAGATCCAAACAATACTCAACCTGAACCAGAACTAGTGCAACATTAAAATGGAGCAGTTTGAAAATCGGTTGGAAATACCGATCAAACAACACTAACATTTATACAACCCATCTTCAAAATATTACAAAACATTTTTTGTTTCTGTTCTTTCTGGTTTAAACGCTGCCCACTAGTGCACATGTTCATATTATGTGCAAGTATGTTTTAAGACACCCTACAAATTTTTGCAGATTTGCAGACACAGAAGTATAATTTGGCTTTACACTAAACCATTTGGGTTCTTATAGTTGCCCATTAGTCTCAACATGCGAGTTAGCCATTACATTCTTTCCAAGACAAAACAACTTGGTACATTAAGCATTGTTTGCCGTAGGAAATCCTGACCCAATCTGTTGTTTGTTCTGTCTTGCTGTTAGGCCAGTGGGTTTTCTAAAATGCGAGACTAAACAATTAATGTGCACAGTGGTCACAACAACCCAGTGAAGAGATGCTGTTTCTACAATATCCAGGGTTAGAGCAAGAAAAATATTCATGATTGGAAAAGAAAAGCAGAGCCTAGGGGTCACCATCTTGAAAATATTAGGGTTTTGAGAAGGGCTGAAAGATGAATTGTTTTAGTATAGTAACCGCAGTTTAAAACAGTGCAATTTTCAAATCGCAGGAGCTGCAATTCTTATTATAGCCTGCAAATTTTAGCCACAGATTTCTTTTTCTTTTGCACAGAGCTTGTGAACTGCCTATAAATGTGTTAGATCGATCAGAAGCAAATAAACACAGACATGATGCATACATGACAACGCAACCACAGCAAAGTGGCTATCTGGCTTCCTGAGATTAGCGTTCGAGCCTGAAGCCAGCAAAAGTGTTTATGCTGGTCTTCTTGGCCAAAAATAGACCTTATTTAATAGGAAGTAATCACAAACAAAACACAATCACAACTGTGGTCTTAATAATTGTAATTAGATACCTTCAAGACTACTTTTAAGAGCTATTTAAGAGCTGTGTCACAAATTTTGTGACAATTTAGGGAGGTGATGGTGCCGTAAGAGCAGAAATTAAACAAGAACAAGAACAATGCTTGGCAATAATCCTGAATAATTAATGATGGACAAAAGAACAAGACTTTCCACCGCTCCACATATCAGTTTCTTATGGCAGATGACACAAAAGCAAGCTTCTGCCATCTTAATCTTTTTACAACACTAAAAGTTTTGTTGTTCAAATCCACAATTCAGGCCCAGCTCCACTTGTTTTCACAACTTTATCAACTATCTACCAGGTTTTACCATCATCACGTCCATTTTGGCAATTGAAAGGACAGCACCAACAAAAGACATCAAACCATGAAACGGGTACCATTGACCTTCACGGTTCACAAGATGCGCACTTCTATCTCAGTACACATTTTTTCCATCCTGCTAAAAGACATTATATAACTAAAAGACATTATATAACGTTTCAAAAATCCTTCATTCCTGAATTCCACATTATTCACAGTGATTCAAAGTATTTAGGTCAATAAGAGAGGAGCCTAGATCAGTGCAAAACAAAAAAACAGACATTCCTTACCATATGATACTAAAATTATTCCACTGTTCAAATCTGACTGCCTTCTAGGAACAGTTACACAAGTGCATTCCCTTTGGCTCTGCTCGCTGTTACACCGAAAGTGGTAGTGGCAGAATTTCTGCAACTGAATAAAGTTTACACAATTCACTGGCTAAATGTGCCGAACAGGCAACATCATGTCCATTTTTTCCAATGTATGCTAAACTTCCACTTCCTCTTCTCAATTCTGAGAAAAGTATAATTAGAGAAAACAGAAACAGAGTGAAAGAGAGAAAGTACAGGCATTCTGTGTTACCTCTACAATGTCATCATCAAACAGTAGCCAGAAGCCGTGACTCTTCACTATAGTGATGTAATGGCCACGATTAGGACCACTGGAAGGGAAAGTGGACATAAACAGATTTCAGCCATGCAGTCAGATCAACATATATGTAAATATGTAAGAATCAGCATTCACATAAACCACTAAACCATTATTTACTCTTTCTGCAGGCAAAACAATAAACAATGAAATTAATAAAACTATTTCATTTTAGGAATAACATTCATCAGTGTAAGAGAAAATGATGAATGTCCTGGTGGATGTGGTGCTTGGATCCCTACCTCCCACAGTGCACTACCACAGCCACAAGGTCATACATGCGGTCAGGGTTGGTGGCATCTCCAGAGGTGTTAAAGAGCCTCAGCTCCAGAGGGAAGACCACGCGGTAGGACAGCTTGGTGTAGCGATGCAGCTGGTCCATGTACTTAAAGCGCTTTAGGTGCAGGGCGAGGATCATAGGTAATTTCTTCACCCGCATCCTAAAGAGAAAGACAACGCGACAGGACCACCAAATTGGTTATTTGATTAGTGGTGAAGCATGAGGCACAACACCTGTAAACCAAATGAGATTTAAATGGTTGCCCTGGAAACAGCTGTCAAGGAACTGCAGAGTTAAGAAGACTTCATCTGTGTCGGACTTTGCTGTCTACAGATAGAAAAGGACTGGCGTACCTTTTCTGTGCCTCCTGCTTACTCCGACACTGCTCACAGTAGTACTTGTATTCACTACATAAGGTCTCTGTGTTACTGAAGCCCCTGTACACAGAGAGAGAAAGACAAAAACATACAGTCATACACATAACACCAACGGCAGGGTGAACAGAGGTAATTTAAGACAAGGAATGTTGTAAAATGTATTTAAAAAAAAAAAAACAACAACAAAAACATCTTAAACAGGTGACGCCATCATGCTTGGGAATTAATTCAGGAAAGGCTTAGTCCTTTAGCAAGGATGGATCGAGACTTGCCACTTTACCAAAAAAGGCTCTGGCAAAAAATTCAATAGCCAAGAACAATATTCCTCAATTAGTGATTTCAAGAATTTTGGGTATTTCACCCTCTACAGTGCAGAATATCATCAAAAGATTCCACAACTGAATGACCTCTGATGGCAATGCATTAAAAACAAGCAAATGCTTCTGTGATGGACATCAATTCATGGGATTGAGAAAACTTTGACAAGCTATTGTTAATAAACACCATTCTTCAGTGCCTTCACAAATGCAAGTTAAAAATGTGCAAAGCAAAAGCCATACGCCCACAATGCTTAGAACGCCACACACTAGCTTGAGCTCATCTAAAGTGGACTGATTCACAGTGGAAACATGTTTAGTGGTCTGACAAGCAAGTCAACTTTTCAGATTTTATGTTTATGAAAATAACGGACGCCGTGTTCTCCAGACCAAAGAAAAAACTGGACCATCCAGAATGTTGCCAGTATAAAGTTACAAAAAAGCTAAGGTGTGTTATGGTATACAGGTTTACTAGTGGGTAACTTGATCATCTGCAAAGGCACCATTAACCCAGAAAATAAACACAGGTTTTAGAGCAATATGCTGCCTTCTAGATGACATCTTTTTCAGAGACAACAATGCTTATTTTAACATGACAAAGCCAAGACACATTCTGCATGTGTTATAGCAGCATGGCAGTATGCAGGTGCTTTGTGGATTTAAACATCACAAACTATTTACAAAAGATTATTTTTGGATGTTTTATTAACACGTCAAAATTCTGTGAAGAAGAAGTGAATAAAATTATATATTTTATAATTATTATTTTCACTAAATTTGTTGAGTTTTCTGCCTCGAGATTTGATCTCTGTTTTTGAAATATAATAAATTTTGGTTATTAATTTTATTACAACATTCTTGAAGGTTTTTCAGTCATTTAAGGATCATGTCTGTCTCCGTTCATCATTCTGAAAACATCTCAAATTTATACATTTTTATTCTCAGTTTTCTAGTACTTCTGAAAAAAGCAAATTTATTGTTGAAAACTTTTGAATGGTAGTATATCTCAGATAGGAAACAGTGTGTGACAAGAGGTTTGTCTTTGCACGCCAGGCATATGATTTTACCTGAGACAGTGCGTAATGGAGGTGTTCTGCTCCACATCCACTGAGAGGTCTAAAAAGTCCTCATCTTTACTGCTCACCTGGGAGTGAAGGATAGAGTAATTGCCATCATCATATTGCACCTTTCAAAGATAAAACTCTACTTAAACATTTCTGTCCATATGTGCTTACACTTTGGTGTATGATAATAACATACACTCCTATGAAAAAATATTGCATGCCTACAACATTTACTGCATTTAATGTAGACTGTAGAATGCAGCAGACCTTAACCCCACTGAAAATGTTCCACATCTCATGCCAAAACCTTATCTTGCTCCAGGTAACAAAAATGTATTTCATGCATCTATGTTTTCATAAACATACAGTTGATAACTCACTCTAAAATCATGAATAACAGTAACAGTGCAAAAATGCTTGCAGCACAATACCTTTCTACAGGAGTGTACGCAAACTGATTAGATGTAGCCCCAAGCAACAGAGTAACTAATATCCTCACTTATGAAACTACACATTGTTTTAAGCATTAACTATTAAAACATATTCTAATACTTTGTGCAAATACAGTACACAATCCTTCCTAAATGAATAAATATATTCTAACCAACTGATTATTGCTGCCCTTGAAATGCTTCAGGAGGCAAAGGGTAACTGAGGTGCGCTGTCTGACGTATTGTGATAAGTCTGTATCTACTGTTATCAGAACAGGGTTGGGCAATACAAAAAAAATAATTTCATGACACTTAGACATTTTACTGACACACAATACGTATCAAACATTTTGACACAGTACTTTAGTAGCGCCACAATTACAAAACACTGCTATCAAAAACTACCAATATGAAGTTACTCAACATTTTATATGCTCAAACTTAAACAAATCTAATTATGTTCTCTGTTTAATGAAACATGCAAAATGTCGTTGTGTCGTTTAAGTACTGATGATTATCTACAATATTCTCAGAGAAAAATATTTTTCACTGTTTCCCACAGGTCTGAAAGAAACTTGAGGGGAGCATTATGTTGGATGGGGTGCGTTGAGCAGGTACTGTAATATATACAGATATCCATACTCTTCTCAGTATTCTTTTTACTTACTCAGGTTTTCAAATAAGACACACAAGAAGCTGATATAGTGTCTCATTTTACATGACATTTGCCCTTGTTTATATGTAACAATATAAAATATTTTACAATGTATTAAAATGAGACAAAATGGCCTTTGGAAATTGTTAAAATGGAACAAAAAATACTTGCTATTGTCAGTATTCTATAGGGGGCACACCCAAGCACAGTCTATGTGTGGGAAACACTGCTATTTATCACAATAACAATCATCAGTATCATCATGCTGCCGACCACTACACATCAAAACCAAAGAGCTAGTCCATTCTAAATGAGTCAAAGCTGAAACTTGCTTAGCAATGAGGACAGCTTCCGCCTGATTTCTTCCACACCCATTTGCCTGATTTTCCACTATCTACATGTCTCATTAGAAACACATGATTCCCTTCCCCAGTATGTTCCATCTCTCCAGCTCACCGCTTCACAGTTGAGGCAGCGTGTCTCATTGGTCAGCGTGCCCTGGAAAATCTCGTGCACCCAGGTCTGCTGAGTCTTCTCGTCTGATTCCGCCTCCCCCGTGCTGCTCCCGCTGCCTCCTCCTCCCCCCCCTCCTCCTCCTCCGTTCTGCACCAGCTTGCCATTCTGCTGCCGCTCCTGGCTCTTCTCCTCCTGCAGCAGGTCCGCGATTGTGTTGAGCAGGTAGTTGAGAAACTCATGTGCGTCTTGCTGCATGTAGTTGTCAAACAGCTCTAATAGAGGAAAGAGGAAATAGAGGAGATGTAGACTAATGGAGCCGATAAGCTTTAAGTCCATTACCAGTTTTAAATCTACTTTGCCCCACCCCACCCCTCCACTACATCAACTTCAAGTATATCATGGCTGAATCGATGGTGTACTTACCAAAATCACTTGAAACAAGCATTTTACCCCTTAAACCTTCTCTCACTCACATACTAACTTATAAGTTTCATAACAGGTGCTTAATAATAAGCCAAAAGTTTAAACAGTTTAACTAGTGCTGGGCATTATGTGGCCTAAACCCATCACAATACTGATTGCCGATTAAGCAGCATTGCTGGATAACAAGTATAATATTAGTGATAACAGTCTATTCTGTAAAATAGTGATGTGCCAGTGATTGGCCTCTCCAATTTCTTTATCTCTACCTTCTTCACCCGTTCAGTGTCCCTCCCTGTGCTGAGACTTTGGTCTTACCATTTTCCTTTCTCAGCCGCGAGATGAACTTCTTAGGGGGAATGACTCCCACCTTCTTCTTTTGCGTGGCGATGCTGTTAAAGAGGTCTGCCAGACAGGTCAGCAGGCTCTCTTTGCGCCGTGGCTGGACCTTATAGGCCAGCACTTTCTCTCGGAAGGGCCGGCAAAAGTACAGGGCCTGCAGCACTGAGTTACAATAGCAGGTGTTGCCGAACTGAAAAGGGAGAAGATTCGGGAGGTAGAAAACAGGATAAATAAAGGAGACGAAGGAGCGATATACATTACAGTGTCTGATAAAGACCTGTTACCTACATGCAAGGTCATGGCTCTGATTATGGAGAGGTATTTCCTTTCAGGAAGTAAAGACTAATTCTAACCTGTCATCATTTTTAGAGCAGGTGGCTCTGAAACATGCTTATCTCAGACAAGATAAGCTTCTAAGGGTGTGGGCAAAAAAGGTCAGGTTTTTTTTTTTGTTTTTTTTTATTATTATTTCTGGAAGTGACTCATATGGCCTGATGTCACAGACCAACACCTGATTTGCATATTTCAGTAGTATATTTAGCAAAGCTCAGCTACTGAAATGATGCACAAAGGACTTAACTTACATTGACCAGCCCAAAGTAGTGTTCATTTACGGGGAACTGTTCCGGTCCAATCTCCTTCTCCAAGGCAGAGGCATTGGCGCCCTGTAAAAGACATTTATGAAGGTTACCTTGGGCTTTTTTGTGACAGCCCTGAGTGAATTCCAACACTAGTGAGTCTTTTTAAGCATACCAGGAACATCCTGTTTGCAGAGTGAGATGGGAGGCTTGGCTTTAACAGGATGTTAACAAACATTTCTGTAAATTTCCCCTGTGGTGGGACTAATAAAGGATTATCTTATCTTCTAACTTCCAGAATGCTAATAAAACACCACCAACCAGTACTTCATTAGTCCGGTGGGTTTATGTATCACTGAGCATTATTTAAAACTCATTCCTGTATGCCTAAAAGCCAGAAATAGTGGCTTGACTAGATGGCCATAGAGTAAAAGCTCTGAATTCTGGGGACTCAGCGCTGCGCAGCTTAAGCACAACACGTTTGTATTCAAAAATAAAAAAGGCCCATGTGACATCGTACAGGCTGGCTGTGGATGAGACTGTGACCCAGGAAAGGGTTAAAGCAAAGGAACTGGTTAACTCGAACAAGTTCATCTGCTGGATGAAACACTTTGTCTAAAGGATGGCAGATGTCAGAATGACCTTTTGTTAGCATGAGCTTGCACCGTCAAATATGTCAGTATCTAAACATATGTAAAGAGAGAATCTGTCGGCTCAGTTGGAGTAAACACGATTGTTTTTGACACCAACAACGCCACAAGGTTACCCACAGTGATTCGGCACATCAAAGAAAACGCCACAGACTCGCTATGGACCATTCAAAACAGAACATCAAAACAACCATGGCTATGTGCACAGACTGCACTGGTACACCCACCGGATAAGCTAGCTACTTAGCCTTGCAGAGTTGTTAGCTAGCTGACTCTTTAACTTCCTCGCCTATGTTTGCTAGCTAGCTGTCTCTTTAACTTCCTTACCTATGGCATACATACTTACTGTCGACTACATTCTGCTCCTGGCTGTTAGATAACTCGTGCTTTTGGATGCGTGGAAGTTGCACACTTCAGCAAAGTTAGCTAGCAAAACAAACAGAGCACCAGGAGTCGCCTTCTTAAAAGCTACAAGTAAGTTAACCTACGTACTCCTGTCCGTCTGACACTTTAAGAAACTGGTTTATTTGCTCGTATAGCCTTTCTATAATCTGACAAACAGCTACGAGCGTGAAACCAGCCCAGTCCAGGTAGGGTTAGCTCCACGGAGAGTCTGTCCTGGAGCCGCCCTGGACACAGACTGTGTACAGCAAAGCTAACAGCTTAGCTAGCTTAGCGTAGTTGCTAGTTAGCTTGCTAAGCATTTGTGGTAGTTATCTTTATTCAACCTTCGAAAAGACTAATAAAATACATTAAAGACATTATAGTTTATATCTCTTTTATAACTTCTCATCCTGTGTCACTAGTAAGTTTCGGACTCGCTGGTTTGTAAACTTTCTGCTACTCTTAACCTACATGACACGGTCCTTTGCCTGCTAGCTGTCTGCCTGCTAGCCACAGCGCAATGGACCGGACAGCAGCGCCGCTTCAGCTTCAGCAGCAGCACTCCGCGGGTAAACGGAGGTGCAGAGGACGGGCCGATCAGACTTACCATCGTACAAATCGAGGCGATCTTTCGGACTGTCATCAGTATTTCCATCCGTCTGCCGCCATATTGGACCAAACCCCAATTTAAAAACGGTGACAGCCGTTAAAGCGGCTGAAGTTCCGGGGAAACCTTTCGCCCGTCCAGCGGCTGGAAACCAAATGAGGGAGTGTCACTGCGTTATTTTTAATCCCACCCGTATTCCGACGAGACCCGCCTTGCTGAGCCATAACTGGCTAGTCGTTTGTGCTCACCGATTGGTCAGCTGCTTGTGAGCGTGAGGTATTAGCCAATGATGGTGCAGATTGCCGGAAGGTACTCGCCAATCGGAGCGCAGGGAGGCGGGATTGGTCTCAAAACGGGTGGATTAAAAACCTAATGCAGTGTCACTTGTTCCGTTTCGGTATCGACGCAATATACGCAGCATTTCATAGGCCACTTTCTCAGACTCGGCTTTTTTCGGACCAGCTCGGAAGACGCTCTCACCCTCGTGGCTACTTCGGAAAAAAATATTTATTTTTACTCAAAATGAATTAAAACACGGTGTAATTCAATAAATATTAACCCATGTGAACGTACACATTTATCGTACAGTAACTTGTTTATTTTAGAATTTGTTTTAATTAAGTTACTATTGATAAAGGGGGAAATGGCACAAAAATCTCACATTGTCTAATAATCAAATAATAATAATAATTTAAACAATTTAAGTAATAATAATAATAACAATAATAATAATAATAATAATAATAATATAGTTTATATATAATAATAAACAGTCTTCAATGGGCCAATGCGCAGCATTAATAAAGAATTCAAACATTTCACCATTGCATTACTCATTAAAAGCACATCTTGACAAGTTTTGCTTAACCACAAAATCTGGATGCTTTGGTCTAGCATTAGGCTGTGCTTTGGGGTCGCATGTCCTCCGCCCCTCGGCGTGCCGGAGCCGGAGCAGGAACAGGAGTCGGAGCAGGACTCTGCTGAGTTGCCTGTCTTTACTCTCGCTCAGAGTAGCCGGCGGTATCCTCCTCTCTCAGCCTATATCCGGTCATACCGTAGCCTAGCGTGACCTGTCCTCCTGGTTGTCCGGACTCTTTACTCTACATCTGTGTGCGTTTCTTTTGAGAAATCCACGGACAGAAAGCATCACGAGGAGCACCAGCGGACAGCCAGCCTCGGCACTGGAGTGCGTTAGTTTAGGGGACATGGTTTTTGATCCAAAGGAGTTTGCGAAGACATGGTTTCAAGCGGACATAACCATCCACTAGACGACTCGTGCATGATGAGCGAGTCGTAGAGAGAACTCAGCGGAGAGAGAGAGAAAAGCCGTCGAAGTGCTGGAGGAAAACTGACAGACACAAGAGCTGTTCACTCCGCAGCTTTTCTCAATGCGCCTTATCGACCAGCCGGGAACAATGAGCAGTGGCTCTAGCAACTTTCTGCTAGTCCCAATACCGGAGTACCCTGTTCTAGACTGTGTACCTAATAAAAACGTCAAAATAGTCGTTCTCGGAGCGAGTAACGTCGGCAAAACAGGTAGTAATGAAGTTTTTTTTGTTATGATATTTTAAACAAAGTTAGGAGAAATCCGCACAGGCTGTGGAAGTTCTCATATTTACATTACGCAATAGTGAGATCTCATAAGTGGATTGTGGATCCAGTTTCTCTTTTAGTTTCGTGTTAGAAACACCTCTTTGAACGGTGAGCTCGTGTTGTAGGTATGTCATTCGTCCCACATACAAAACATAAGTGTAAAGTAATGCAGATGTGGTCTGGAATGAAAGCTGGAGGGTCTGGAATGGCAGGCAGGTATGAGCAGTGTTCGCCTGGGGGCGACATACAGATGCCTTGTCTGAATCCAGCAGTGCTGCATGTGCTCTGTGGCTTTTCTGGTTGATTTTGATGGTGATGAACATAAAAACTAACTGCCTTTGATTAACATTTCCAGCCTTGATTGTAAGATTCCTGACCAAGAGATTCATTGGAGATTATGAAGCAAACACAGGTAATTTCCACTCTTATTGGTGCAAAGATGGGAAACGAAACTGTTGGATTCCAGTTTGAATTTTCCGTTCCACCTTAAATGGTGCAGAAGTACATTCTGGCGGCGGTACTAGAGTGTAACCGCTGCACCATTTAAGGTGGAACGGAAAATTCGAATAGGAACCCAACAATGTGTAGTTAATTGAACCCATATGATACTGTGACTTAGAAAGTGAAACACTTTCTTGTATGCTATAAAAAAAAACTGGTGGGAAAAGGAGATTTATCAGAACTCACCCAAACCTACTCACACTCACAATTACTCACATACACTGTGCTAACATATAAGTAAGCTAGTGTTGGACGATATATTGGTGTACTAGTATTGGTGTCACACAGCAATACTGATTTTTAGTTTTAGTGTTATCGATAGATAAAAACAGATAAAAATGCTAAATTTGTTGTCTTTCTGGAAATGTATTTTCTGTTTGGTTAACATTTTCAAACCTGCAGTGTCATTTTAAGAGAACAAAACGGTCCAGGCAAATCGATGTCAAATTCGTAAGCCATTTTTCAGCAGAGTAGCGTGGGTTCATTAACTGTACTAAAGCAAATAGACTATCATCTCTACCATCATGTTGTGATATATTTGGAAAATATTGTGATATTGAATTTTATCAATACCACCCAGCATTAGAGTCTGCTTGTTCCTTTCCACAGGGGCCTTGTACTCAAGGAAGATCAGTCTAGACGGAGAGCAGGTTTCCTTACAAGTGCAAGACACTCCCTGTGTATCACTCCAGGTATTTCAGTCCCACATCACAAACACTTAATTCCATTTCCTTTTCTGTCTCTGTTTCCATCTAAAGTGAGTTCTCTAAGTGCTGGGGAGATCAATCACGCATTACCACTGGGGCATCTGCAGGCCTCTGATGGACTTTGGAGAATCTTGGTTCAAACATTTGGACTTCAAACCAAGAATGCAGGAGTGGAGATAAAGAGGGTGTGTTCAGTCATAAGCTCATTAAACTGAGAGGAGGTAAAGTAGCACAGAGAGGGTTCTAACTGCAGGGGCTCATTTTCCAGACATGGATTAAACCTTTCCTGGTCAAACAGACCCTGTTAATGGTTATTCCCTGCTGATAATGCTTGATTATTCAGTACCAGAGTTAATCTATGGCCAGGAAACAGACTTAGGGAACGACATGTCGCTCTTGACATTGGACATGGCCTCTTATGGCTCCAGCAGTAAAAGTCTTCACCCTTAGCTCATTTTGTTTTGCTTGTCTTGGCGTACGTTCTGTGTTTTTGCCTTGCTAAGTTTGGTTGTAGAGCTGTTACACAAACACAATGTTAAACTGAAAATCAAGCTGAAAATCGATCTGCTGAAATGAGGAAAACAGGGTGTCCTCTGTAGTCACTTTGTTTATCCACTACAGCTTAGTATCAGTATCTTTCTCATACACGTTTTCTTTCTTGTTTTCTTTCTTTCTTTCTTTCTTTGGTGCATGCTTTATATTTTTTACTGAGTTTAATATATTAGGAATAAAGAAAACATAAAATATAAAATGCACCATAATCACTGTGCAAGCCACACTTTGTGTTGTATATTTTATGTTATATATTTTTTTCCCAAGCTGTTAAATTTAGCAGATACACAATAGTTGTGCCTAAGTTTTTTCTCTGTAGAGGATGTTTTAACTTAAACCTAAAAAAACATGTCATTTGACCAGAGGCCCACAAACTTTTGCATACAACTGCATGCATTTTAATGCACATTTCATAAACGTACATAATACTGTATATCCACTGCACCCCACAGTACACATTCCAGTAATCCTGTTTTGAGAATTTAACAAAACTAGTTTATTTAAAGTGGAATATTATGATTTGTGCTATGTGCATTTATATATGTTGTGGTTATTTACTGGTTCATATTTAATCTTTAATCTAAAATCTTTCAGAAAGTATAGGACCTAAAAGGCCTCTAGTTTTTTGGTAAGAAGTCATTTTGAACTAATGGTGAGGTGGCATGGACTGACCTATGTTTTTTTATTTGTTTATTTATTTATTATTTTTTTAATTTATGTTGACGTTTTCACCACGAACACTGTTGTAATATTTATATTTAGTGAATAAAAAAGTTTCTGATTATGATTCTGATTCTGCCTGACCCAGGATGATGCGGAGGGTCTGTACTGCCAGGAGCAGATCAACCGCTCCATCTACTGGGCCGATGGCTACGTCCTAGTCTTCTCTATCACTGACCTGCACAGCTATAGAACCATCCAGCCTCTGTATCAACATGTGCGCCGCATCCACCCCAGCGGCAACATCCCCATAATTCTGGTGGGCAACAAGAGTGACCTGCTGCGGGCGAGGCAGGTGCCGGCCCATGAGGGTGAGGCGCTGGCCGCTGAACTGGGGGGACCTTACTTTGAGGCTTCAGCCCGGGAGAACCATGAGGGTGTGCATGCAGCTTTTCTGCACTTATGCCAGGAGGTGAGTCGTGCACTGGGAGGAGGGAACGGGGAGAAGAGGAGAGGAGGACTACACCTCGCTCGACCTAAGAGCCCTAACATGCAGGAGCTGAAAAGAAGGTTCCGGCAAGTGCTGTCTTCTAAAGTGAAGTCAGCCACAGCGCTCTGATGAAGATGAAGACGGTGATTATGGTGATGAAAAGCCATAGACTGCATCAGGGAGCTGATTCAGAGGCCTGTTCAGATATTACTGCCATCGTCTGTACAGTATTTGGCTGAGGAGTCAAAAGGTCAAAGTTGGATCATTTTACTTATAGCAGTACATTGCAGTAGTGGCATACATATACTGTTTGGAATGTGTTGCTAACTTTCATCCAAGACACTCTTTCCTTGGATGGCCACATAATGGGATTAAAAGCATTGTTCATAATAATGTTATAAATAATGCTATTTTTAATAATTAATAAGAATAATGTAGGCCTGCACAAAATGGTAAAAAAAAGGAATATTGAAATACTACATATTAACTTTAGTGACCTGCTTGTTTGTTGGATCATGCAAATGCCTTGATTCATCAAAACAGTTGTCTGGCTTATCTGATATTGTTTGGAATACTCACAGCACAGAATAAAAAAAAACTTTTTTTGCTTAGTGGGCTAATTTGCATGTTTATTTCTTTTTTCTTTGTTTACTTTCACAAAGACCAGTATTGTGATGATAATGGTTAACACACAAAATATAAGTGCAGCCCTAATGCCTTGTTTGACGATTCCAGCTTCTAATTTATTGAGTTATTCTGATGTTTATGTTTATCACTATTATAGTGATAATGTTGGATGAAGTTATTTGAAGTAGAGGTGAAATTAGTAGTTTGTCGTGTCCTTTGGTTATATGAGCAGGACATGGATGTAGGGGTGGGCAATACGGCGATATTTTATTGTTATTGTGCAAAATTTTCGCAGTAAATGTGATGTACATTATGCTTTCCTGAGCATACTGTGGATATCCTCAGGACTTAAAGAGCACTAAACACCTGCATGTTTCACTACAACGAAATTGTAATTGTTTTTAATGCAGTTCACCATGTGAAATGATGCAAAAAATCAATGTATTCTTAGGTTTTGATAGCAGTTTTTAAATGTGACACTTTTAGCCTATTTTGTCTGTATCGTGATGTGTATTATGCATTGTAAACATTTCTTTAAGATCGCGATATGCAGTTTTTCCATATCGCTAACCCCTGTATGGATGTTTGTCATGATTATGTGGTACAGTAAGGATAACATCATATGTACAGATCTTATACAGTTGTATGTGAAAGTGTGAACACTTGGTTTTTTGATTTTGATTTCTAGAGTTTAACATATTGGGAAAAATATAAAATATAAAATGTGCCATAACTTTTGCACAGGACACATTTTATTATTTCCAATATGTTATATACAGCAAATAAACAGTAATTGTGCATTGAAGTGTGTTCTCTGTGGAGGATGTGTTAACTTGTTTCCACTTAGAAAATCTACAAAACATGTAATTTGACCAGAGACACCCACATTTTTGCATACAACTGTATTATGGTAAATGTTGCACTGCAAAACTTAGATAATGCATCCTAGAGCACACCTTCACCTTAGAAGAGAACAGAGAAGAGAGCAAACAAACAAACATGGGACGATCTATATAGAACAACTCCTTATGAATCACAGCAATTATGGTTGGCTATCCAGAAATGTTCCAGAATATTCCTGAGAATCCCTGTCTGGGGGAAATTTTTATTATTTTTTTTTATATATTTAAATATAATCTGCTGGGAGGAAGAGGCCAGTGACTGGTGGTTCTCATGGCCTTTGACCTGCTTACGCTGTGTCAGGGATTGGTAAGGCACAGCAGCGGGTTGAACCAGTGTTTATTTACTCATTCTCTTTCCATGCCTCTCCATACTTGTGGTAGATAGAGCTACATTCCTCTCGAGCAAAGCCAGGAAAGCCTCAACTGCCCCGTCGGTCATTCAGTGCAAATGGTCGTTGACCCCTAATCTTTCCCCCTTGATCTATGACCTTTCTTCTCCTCATTCCTGACCTGAGGAAAAGCAGACTGGATCTGAAATTGAGAGTCTGATATCTCTGATCATTTTTTACTTTTATTTCTATTTTCTTAACTGGGTTAAGTAGCCGCTTTGTGTAAGTAGAAGAGACTCTTTGTTATTATCTTTACGCATTTTCATATTTCAACTTTTTATTTTCTCATTATGTTAGCATGTTTGAAAATACACACTCACACACACACCCACCCACACACAGACATTCTTCTCCACCCCCTTAAAGATCCTTTTCCTGTGCTGACATTAGCGGTTTTTAGTACTCTCAGAGAGACAGACGACACCAAAATCTGAAAATCAGATCGTTCATTTTAACAGATAAATGTTCAGCACAGGCATAGTTGTAATCCTTTTTCCATATGAAGCAGAACAGTAGCCAGGCCTCACTGTTGTACTGTCAGGGCTATAGAGTTGCCCATAATTAAAACCACATTCAAAAGCTATCAAAATACTTAAACATGTCCTGCTTTTGTGGGTTTCTCTCCAACACATTGTAACACATGCAAATTTAAATTACTCATGGAGATCTCTGAGGACTGTCAGAAAAAGTGTGCATGAATCATTCAGCAGTATTCTTTATCTTCTGTGGAGTTTTGCATGCTGTGTGTTGATGTGGAATGCACATAATTAGAGTCAACCAACTCAGGTCTTGGTGGGTCACTGCACTGTAATTGAATGTGTTTCTTGCTCTAACACACCTGCTTCAGCTAACTGATAATTAACTGAGTTGAAATCTGCAGTAGCAGATTTCAAAGATTCTGATTCTTTCATCAGGTTTCGAATGGATTTCATTATTTTGGGATTCAGAATTAAACACAATTATTATTATACATAAACCATAGGAACTATTTACACAGCAGTGGAGCAAACATCACTTTTATATATATTTTTTAAGGATCCACATCACAGAAAAATGATGTATGTAAACCTTGTTAGGTTATGTTTCAAAATGTATCATTTACTCCTCCCATATAGTCCATATATACATGCAGTTGCTGCTGCATGCACAGTGTGTGTTTATTTGATGGATGGCACCAAATGACTCTTTTATCTGTGTTCTACTGTTATCACAACCAGACAGCGAAGATTTCTCCAAATATGTGCCTTGCTGGGTTTAATTAGATGCACTGTGTGCTATAGTTAGTTGCAGTAGCTTCTGAGCAGATTCATTCCTTTTTTGTTTTTATTACCTAAATGGTTTAGGGTCAATTTTGAAAACGTTTTAAAAAATGAACTGCAATGTCATACTGATCTAGTCATCATTCATCACTCTTGCTTAAGTGTTTATGAGTAGCCTAACCGCACCCTTCCAGGTCCAGAAATAGATTGACACCCCACCGCTGATCATTTTTTGAACTTCTGCTGTCTAGGCTAGGTAAATAAAGCGGCAGTTTGGTGAAATATCAAATTTGAATTATTTTCACCTTACCATAATTTTGCTGATCAAACAAGACACGTTTGGCATTTGCTTCTTTAGCTTTGCACTGGACCTACAAAGCTAATGTAGCTAAAAAAAGTAATGGAGGGTAATACCCCACCAGTTACCACTGTGCAAACTGCATACCTGAACTACCACACCTTAAAGCTCAATCTGTTTCTAAGTAATGTCAAACTGCATGTTATGGTTCTTTAGCTCTGTTTTTTATACATTTTATAGATAACAGCATATCAACGGGTTTTGAGGCAACTGTGTGATGATTTAGGGATGCAGTTTGCACAACAGTAATTGGTGGTTATAGGTAGGATAGTTAGGATGCACTGATATGGGAATTGTGGGCCAATGCCGATATCCAAAATAATTCATCTACATATCAGCCAATGCTGATTAATAAACATTTGTATAATCTAAAAATTATATTAGCATCATGGAGAAATATAATATTTATTTGGTTAGAAATGCAGTAAAATGAAAACAATACTGACATTTTAGCACAATATCACAGCGTCCAAGTACAATATATTTGACATCAAATACCATTTTGAAATGTCAGTCAAATGTGTATATGTCTGGTGGCAGTAAAGAATTATCTTCAGATACCAATTTAATTAAGATATTATTGTGCATCCTTAGTTATTAGTTTCCATTACTTATTACCTGTATGTTAATACAGTTCAGTTCAGTGCAAATTTAAGCAAACTTGGACACCAGGCGTTTCTTGGCTGATTGACCATATTTGGAGCAAGGGTTTGGCATCTAGAGACCCGCACATCTGAATTGCTCATTCCTCAAAGTTCTTGAGTAATGAAATAGTGTAACTTCCTCTCATCCAACACATAATGAATGAGGTCTCTTGGCACTATTGTAATGAGTGGCTTCCTGAGTGCTGCTATGGCCTACTAGCAATCGCTACCAAGACACACACACACAGGCGCATACTTAGACCCTTAGACCTGAGGTTATCGCCTCATGAAGTGGGAGTGTGAAATGGTGTTTGTCTCCATTTGTGAAAACATGTTTTACATGAGAAAGCCGGTAAGGGAGACTGGAATACTCAGAACAGTTTGTGAAAAACAGCTGTGAGGTGAAACAGTTACAGGACATGTTCTCTCCCGCTGACCTCACTGTGTTATCGCAGGCTCAGGAAACTCGACCAGAAACACAACTCCCAACGGACGAGGCAGAAGGAAGGAGGGAGGGAGTAGGAGAGGGAAAGAGAGAAGACTTGGGTCAAGGAAGGAAGAGAAAAAGCGGGAGGAAACTGAAAAAGAGAGGAGGGTTAGTTACACGATTTGGGGAGGGGATACCAGACGAGGTCTTAGTGCCCAGAAAAACCCGATCCACAGTGAGGGACATCATGTGGTTTGTGGCTTTCGGTTCCTCTAACCAAGACTTAGAACCTTATTGCAGCTGTTACAGGCAAAAAAATCAAATGTGCACAATTTTCCCTTTACTCCAAATGTAGTCATTTAGCTAAGACATTAGGCGTCTGGAGTCTGCTTCTTTAGTTATTTATAAAAACTGACAAAAAACATGGCACATAGCTAGTAGCAGAAACCTGATTTTTTTCTGTATGTCCATTTTTATAGATAACAGTGTTGTACAGTACCACATAAGCATGTCTATGTGAGATTACATAACAACTTGACATAGATTAAGACAAGTGTGTGGTGATTAAGGCATGCAGTTTAGAGGTCAGCCCGAGCCTGATGGTACCCAATTTCAGGCTGATTTTTACATACGTCAGGCTTTGGTTTATTTTCCAAAGAGTGATTTTTTATGTAGTAGTTTTGTTGTTTGATGGAATAAGGATGTGTGATTTTCTCCTCTCTTGCGCCCCCCCCCCTTTCTCTCTCTCTCTTTCTTTCTGTCTCTCTAGTAATGTTGTAGTTGGCCTTGTCATTTCAGTGGAAAACTAAAGGAGTAAACTTATTTTCCTGGGGTAAAGGGAAAACTGTGTAAACTGTTAAATATATCAAACTATTCTGAAATTGTAG